TGCTAGAATATGAAATGAGAACTTTCCATTTGTTTATTCAGTATCAATGCTCATGAGCTCCTCTAGGGGTCTTGCTGCTCTTGAATGTTATTGTTTTCAATAGGCACGCAACATGGTGCATGACAGAGGAATAATCTGTTTTAAGACTAAAGAGAGATAAAAACCACTGAAAATGGACTTACTGAGGGATAGAATATAGAACTTTGATGTGGTACATTTAAGTATTTTCTTCATTTAACAAATATTAACTACTAATTGAGCACCTGATGTGTCTAGACATTTAGGGTAGATGAAGGAACCAAATATTCTTATTCTCATAGTAGGAGACTTATCAAGGGGAGATTTTCACTGCTAATTTTAATATTATTAATTTTAATCCCAGAGTTGACCTGAGTTAGCTGTGGCTCTATGATTCACTTTATCACACTGGAGTATCTTGTCATAATTTTTAAATAACTTTATTGCTCTGTTCATGTTTTCTCATATACTTGTGAGTCATACTCTCAGCAACTATGTAGATTTTATGAGACTATATAGCAATAAATACTGAGAAAGAGATCACTTTTTAAGAAGGTTTCTTTCCCGAGAACTTCGTTTCTCCTGCGAACTTTGTGTATGTGTGTTTTGTGAGTACAGATAATGAATAAGTGTTTTATAAGTGCTGGGTATACAGAAATGGGCTTTCCATACCATTTTAGCTCCTAAAAGAGGTACTTGAAGGATCTCAGTACCAACTTTTCTTGCAGCAGAAAAACAGATCCTGGGTTCAGCAGCAGACACTAAAATATGGCTTGGCTCTTGGTTCTCGAGTGTTATGTTCCATTAGAGGATCTGGTGGGTGGAGGCCATGGTACCTTTTCAGAAACTTGCCAAAACAGACACAGACTTGCTGGCAGTTGCAGTGGAGAGGTCTTACTGATCTATGCCCAGCTCTCAGGAGGTAACTGGCAAGACTGAAGAAATCAAAACAAGCAAAAAAGTCCCTGTACACTTATAAATTTGACTTGGAAATTTTGCCTCAAGGCTGTGAAATTCTAGAAATAATGATTCCATTTCTCCAAGTCCAATTATTGGGCATTTAGTCTTTAATGTAGAGAAAATACATTCAATTACCTATCTTTTAAAAAAAGTCTAGACATTTCCAGGATCATATAAATAAATGTATGCTATACTACTCTTATTCAAAACCAGGCCCTTGCGTCACATGATTTTCCTCTTCAAAAGCTAAGCTTTGTTTCTATTTTGCCTCTGAGATATTTATTTGATTATATAAATCTCCTCTCCCAAGGATAAATCGATTAGTCTTCATTGTCTCTGAGGTTTGTGCAGCTAGGATTATAGGTTCCTTCCAAGTGTAGTCATGAAGAACACTTGGGAGAAGGTAAACCTTGCATAGCCTCTTGCTGCCCTCTGATGGAAAAAATGGGTATTGAACAATTAATGGACAAAAAATGGGCATTGATAACAATTACCCTAAAAGCTATTCAACTACACTGAAATGTGAATCTGAATGCTACAAACAAAACATATATTAAATGAATGATGTTTGAATGTCTGTACTCTAAGAATCTAATTTCTCAGCTATGGCACTTTTATCTAGTTAGATTTTGTTTACTGGGAATTTCTCATGTCTTTCTCCAAACTTTTCAACAATCATGTCATATATTTGGGGATAATTACAAGACTGTTTTAAAAGGTTAGTTTCAACACTTAGGTTTAGTAGGCCAGGGATCTAGCTCAGACGTATAAGCACCTTCCTGGCAAGGGCAAGGTCCTGAGTTTGATTACCAGTACCCCCCTCCCCCCAAAAATTAGGATTAGCATTTGGCCTAAGAAATGTATTCTTATATATTTCAAGTCTTAAACTAGGACTTAAATCTATCCAGTCAAATCAAATTCCAAGCCAAAGTTCACTTCAGGAATTCAAATGAAACATGTTAGTCCTATACACTCTGATCCTCAATGAAAGTGAAAAGTCTATTTCCTTAAGATTTTGCAGGCAAATTATATTTTAAAAGAGAAAATGTTTTAGGTCACTAAAGTGACAAAATTCTCAAATTTCAAAGTACAAGAAAGCATTTTAAGTAAAATATACAGGAAGGCTAATTTTTAGAATCAAAGAAAAGTTTGGAGACTAGAATATATAATATACAGTAAGCAGCAGTGTATGATAAACTTTTTGTGTTCCATTGACTTTTAGTGTGGTCACTTTTTTGGTACTGAGATTGAACTCATGACTTCACACTTGCCAGGCAGGCACTTACACCACTGAGTTAAATCCCCAGCCTGTTTCATTGCCCTCTAGCGTGTGTGTATGTGTGTGTGTGTGTGTGTGTGTGTGTGTGTGTGTGTGTTAAGAAATTCTTAGTGCTAGGCCAGTACTATGCTTGGTTTAGATTAGAAGGCCTCTTCATTCAGGAGTCAGTTGAGCCACTGAGTATCTAGTCAACAAATATTTACTGAGCACCAAATGCCAGCACTGTGGGAGAGAGCCTCACCTGCATGAAGGTACCTTCAGAACTTAGAATTCCTCAAGAACAAGGCAGACAGGCAGAATATTGAAAGAGAAAGAGGTAAGGTAGGTAACATAGGGGTTAAGCTTTTGGGGTAGGTAAGACAAAGGGGCTTTTGAACTAGGACTTAAAGAATGAATAGGACTCGGGCATAAAATGTTTCTGTATGACTGAAATTTGATAATTTCTTCCTGAGGAATAATGTATATTTGCAAAATAAATGAGACAGTTTTTAAGGGCCACATAACAATTTTCCCATGCAAATATTTTTTGAAATATGAAGATTAAGGACAGTTTAAATATGGTCAATTCTCAATTGAACTCTTACATATGAAAATATTTGTACCAGTTTCCTCAAAATATGCATATTTCTTTCATCCCAAAGTAGTTAAAGAAGAGAATAGATATAACTATTTTATTGACTTTGTCCCTATCTTTTCCTTTGGCCACCAATTCTATTCATTGGACATTTTTCTCCATTCACTTGGTTATAATGACAATATCATAACCTGGGTGGCTTATAAACAATATTTACTTCTCACAGTTCTGGAGGCTGCAAGTCCAAGATACAGATCAAAAGGGCAGCAGATTCTGTGTGTGGTGGGGAGGGCATCCTGGTTTATACATTCTCATCAAGGTCTCATAATGTAAAAGGAGCAAATGAGCTTCCTTGGGCCTGTTGTAGAAGGACACTAACCCTATTTGTGAGGGCACCTAACCTCATGACTTACTTGGCTTCCAAAAGGCCCTACTTCCTAATGTCATCTTGAGGCTAGGATTTTAATATATGAATTTTAGGAGTCACAATATTCAGGGCATAAATATTTATATGCCAAGCACAGGAGGGCAACAGTGTCAAAGCCACATGATCCTCTTTCTTAAAAAATGAAAAAGAAACGTTTACTGGCTAGCAACACTTGACTAAGCACCACAGTAATATCTCTCAGGATGCAGCTACAACTTGAGGATGTAGCTAAAGTGATCAAGTTTTTGCTTAGTATATAGTAGGCCTGAGTTTGAGCCTCAGCTTCACCAAAAATAAAACAATATCTACCATCTAAAAAACAAAAAGAAACAATCCTCAGTGTACAACAGAGCAGAACATCAGAAATGTGAATAGCCTGGCCCCTGGTGTGCAGCCATTTGGTCCAGCGTGGAGCAGTTAAACCCAGGCTCTGCTGAAGACTTGCCATGAGATGTTGAGCTAGTGACTTAACTTCACTGTACTGTAATCTCAAATATTGAGTTCAGTCATCCAAGTATTATAATCCTCTTTCTAGTTTTCCTCACAATCCAAAAGGTTATATTTGTAATCCCACTGAGATGTCATTGGAATCCCAGCAAGTTAGTTCCAATCTACCACCACCAATGCAACCACCACCACCAATGCAAGAGAGAGTAAAGACACCAAGACATATTCCAGGTTAAGGGCAGCTAAGGGGTCCTAAATCCAATCCCCATGAGGATGTGTGGACAAAGGCCCTGATCCTAAGCCTCTCCTAGAATTTATTATCTTGTTAAGAAGGCGGGGGGGGGGGGGTGGCGCAGGGATGAGTGACAGTAAGGATGGCAAGAATTATATGAGTAACTTGAGCTGGCTGGCCAGATGAGAGAAAGAGATATGCAGAAGGATCAATTCACATAATCTAATTAAGGTAACAACTGAAATGTTTTGGGAGGCTGTCGTTTGGGTTTCTGATATGCAAACTCTTATAACCTAGGGAGTCATAGCCTCTTTACCTTGATTCTACTACCCAGTTGACATTCCTGGAGCTATTGGCTCTAACATCCCACTGTGCTCATATCCTATACATATCCTATATCGAGAACCCTATGCAAGGAAACAGGACTGTCTGTTGGCTTTAGAGACTATATACCAGCTCCTTGGATAGCCTTATTTACAATGCTTAGAGCCAAGTGAAGACAGAAGGAAATACCATAGCCAGCTCTGTACATATTTGTATAAGGAAATAAGTCTCCAGATAATCAAAGTCATAGTAATTGTTTTATATTCAAGGGGAATCACTGGAGTTGTCTCCCACACACTACATCAGTTTTGGATAGAAATCTACCCAACTCACCGGCAGCATGTGCAGGGTTCCTCCTGCCCTAGATTCCTAGCTCCATCCTGTGGTTTTGCACTGCCCTAACATTTTGCTGAGGGTGAAAGAGTGTGGAAGAGGTACTGCTGCTTATTTTTTTTTTTTATTTAAAGAACAAAACAAGACAAACATAAAAATGGGTAGAGGTAACACACAGCTTTGAAGAAAAATATTAATGCTAAGAAATTACTAGTTGATGAGTTACATATTGTCCTCTTAGAAATAGTCATTCAAGTTACAAAATCAAAGGATCAAAGGTACACAGAAACTCAAACATTCACAATATAAACCATTCTGTTCACTAATCTAATGATAACTTAGTAATATCATTTATTTTACTCACTTAAATGTACACAGTTATATGATTTAGAGCACTTTCCTTCCCTTTCACTTTCACAATTTCTGTTATACATTTTGGATCTTATTACTCTTTCAGTTTATTATTTTTCTACACTAGAGAGACAATGTGATATTTATAAATGTCAGTCTTAGCTGAGTAATATTCCACAGTATAAAAATACAACTTTTTCATCCACTCTGCAGTTGATGGGCATTTTGGTTGTTTCCAAGATTTAGCTATTATAAACTGTGTTTGTCTTACTTTTTACTCATCGCTGAACAAAATACCTGATGCCCAAAGTTGGGAAAGTAAAGATTTATTTCTTACAGTTTTTGGAGGTTTCAATCCATACTGTTGGCTCCAAGGCATGGTGGCATGGTAGGGCCGCACTTCATGGTGGCTGCAAATAGCAAGCAGAAACCAGCAAGACAGAGAGAGACACACCTTCTTCCTGCCATTAGATTATATGCTGGCTCCACCCCTAGGTGCGTGTAGCACTGATACATCAATCCAAGCTCTAGACAATGAACCAATCACAAATGCATAGTACAAATGCATGAGGCCTGGGGGCCACAGACATAAACCATGACATTCTGCCCCTGGCCCCCAGGACTCATGTATATCATTTATACAAAACACATTTAGTCCATCTCCAAGAGTTGCCAAAGTCCTAATAGTTTCAGCATTGCTGAAAAGTCCAAGTCCCAAGTTTCCTCCCATATCTACAGCAAACTGTTAACTGTAACCTCCTGTACAAATGAAACAAGGTTAAACATTTCTGAAACGCAAAGGCACAAGATTAACACTACCATTCCAAAAGTTACAAACAAGGGGATATAAAGCATTGGAAACAAAGCAAGTCCAACATCCAGCAGGGCAAACATTAAGTCCTAGACTTCCATGCTCAGCATTTGAAGCAATCTGTTTGCAAGCTCCAAAAGGCTTGCGTGATTCCACCCCCACAGCACTTCCAGGGATATCAGCTCCTGCAGCTTCTTTCTTAAACCTTTTTTGCTCACTTTTTGCAGCTTTCCTTGGATGATCCACATTCCTAGCTTTTCCAAACTTCTGGGGTCTCCATTGAACCTTTGGCTTCACCTTTACATCTTTACAAATTGCCCTCTGAGGGGCACACTGCTTGGTCTCCCGGGCCCTTTGTAATCAAGGAGGAAGCTGATTTACCCTCAGAATTTGTGTACTTTTCTTGCACCTAAAATCAGCGCCATGTGGGCCAAGGTTTGCTGCCAGCTAGAGCAGTAGCCAGGCTTTTTTCTCTCTTGGCTGTAGGGGTTGATTGCCTGGACCACTGACTCTGTGATCCTGATTGTGAAGAAAAGCTTTTCTATGTTGCCACCATTCTGGAACTTCATTTGGCTGCCACCATTCTGGAACCTCATGTGGCCTCTGTCACCATTCTGGAGCATAGTGCTCTGCAGCTTTCCCCTCTGAGCAAATTCTTTCACTTTTGCAGTTTTGAGGCTGCAAAGGGTAGAGACCCACTGCTTCTTGGGATGCCCCATGGCCATCTTTTTTCTCTCTCTGTTTCTCCTCAGCAGTCAAAGTCCCATCTCTGTCTCTACAATCCACAGCTTTCCTGGAGTTTTCCTTCTGGCCAAACTCACAGTTTTGCAAGTTATCCTGCTGGGCTCTTTGCTCTTGATTTGCAACATAAAGCTGGCTAAAAGCCCCAACAATAGCCATGCCACAGCCTCAACATTCAACTGCCTTGAAATTTCCTTTGCCAGATTAATCAGTCCATTTCCCTTAGTCTCAGTCCCAGGCAAAGTCTCTGCATGAGCAAAATGCAGACAAACTTTCTGCCAAATCACACATTCTTCCCCACACATTTTGGGGAGTCCAACAATCAATGCAGTCCTTTTTCCCAGCAGAAACTTCCCAAGTCTGGTCTTTACCATCAGGCTTTCTATCAGCCTTCTGGTCTTCTGAGCTTTGACCAGACTCTTCACTAAAGAACAGACCAAACTGCTCCAGCGCTATGCATCATGTCTGAACCTTTCCAAACTCTGCCCACAAGCCATTTCCAAAGCCTCTTGAAAAACATGGTCATGTATAGTCATAGCAATACCACTTCTGGTACCAAATTCTGTCTTAGTTATTTTTTACTCATTGCTGACACAAAATAACCTGATGCCCAAAGTTGGGAAAAGAAAGATTTATTTCTTACAGTTTTTGAACCTCTCAGTCCAACTCAGTTGTATTCCAGGCAGGGTGGCATGGCAGGGCCACAGTTCATGGTGGCTGCAAACAGCAAGCAGAAACCAGAGAGAGAGAGAGAGAGAGAGAGAGAGAGAGAGAGAGAGAGAGGGAGAGAGTGTTTCTTCCTGCCATTAAATTATATGCTGGCTCCACCCCTAGGTGGGTGTAGCACTGACACCATCAATCCAAGCTCTAGACAATGAACCAATCACAAATGCACAATGCAAATGCATGAGGCCTGGGGCCAGACATAAACCATGACAGTGGTGCTATAAACATGGGTGTACATATATAACTGTGACATGACTTTTTTCAGTTTTACTGGGAAAATACCCAGGAGGGGAATAGATGGGTTGAATGGAACTTCCAATCCTAGTTTTTAGAGGAATCTCCATATTCATTTCCATAGTGACAGTACCAGTCTACACTCCCACAAACAGTGGAGAAGCTTTCCTTTTTCCCAACAGCCTCACCAATCAGTTGATTTCTTGATGGCAGCCATTCTTTCCGAAGTGGGATAAAATCTCAGTGCTGTTTTAATTTGCATTTCTCGAATGACCAGTGATGGTGAACATTTCTTCATGTATTTATTTGTCATTTGTATATCTTCATCTGAGAAATGTGTGCTCAGATGCCCACTTTTGGAAAGGATCTTTGAATTCAGGGGGCTTCATGTTTTCAATTCTTTATATATTCTGGATATAAGTCCTTTGTCTGAGGGGTTGCTGGCTAAAATTCTTTCCCATTCTGTGGGTTTTCTTTTCACTCTGTTGGTGATTTCTTTTGAAGTACAAAAACTTTTTAATAATTAGATCCCAGTTGTTGATTCTTTGAAGTATTTCCTGTGCAGTTTGCATTTTGTTCATGAATCTTCTCCCTACCACTATGTCTCAAAGCTTCCTACTTACCTTGTCTTCAAATAGATTTAGTGTTTCTGTTTTAATATTTAGATCTTTGATCCATTTAGACTTAAGTTTAGTGTATGGTGACAGGCATGGGTCTAGTATCAGCCTTCGGCATATGGAAAGCCAACTTTTCCAACACCATTTATTAAAGAGGCTATTCTTTTTCCAGTGAACATATTTAGCCCCTCTGTCAAATATAAGGTGGCTATAAGTGTCTTTGTAGTTGTGTTTGCATCTTCTAATCTGTTCCATTGGTCCTTAGGTCTCTTTCTTTGCCAGTACCATGATGATTGTATCATTGTGGCTTTGTAGTGTAATTTCAAGTCAAGAATTGAGATGCTTTGCCTTTCTTGCCCAGAATTGCCTTTGCTATTCTAGGTTTCTTCTGTTTCCAAAGGAATTTTAGAAGTGTTTTCTCCAGACCTGTAAGGTATGTTAGTGGCATTTTGATTGGGATTGCATTAAATCTGTATTTGCGAGTTTGGCCATACAGTTTTGGGAGTATGGCCATTTTCACAATGTTGGCTCTTCCTAACCAAAAGCAAGGAATATTCTTCCATTTTCTAATATCCTCTTCAATCTCCTTTTTAAAGAGTAGTACAATTTGCAGCATATAGGTCTTTTACATTATTGGTTAGGTTGATTCCTAGATATTTCATTTTTTAAAGGTGCTATTGTGAAAGGCGATAATTCCATAATTTCGCTCTCAGTGAGTTTTTTGGTTTGTATACAGGAATGCTGTTGATTTTTGAGCACTGACTTTGTATTCAGCTACACTGCTGAATTTGTTTAGTACCTCTAGCAGTCTTTTCATGGAGTTTTTTGGGTCTTCTATATAAAGTATCATGTCATTGGCAAATAATGATGATTTAACTTTTTCCTTTCCTATCTTTGTTCCTTTTACTTCTATCTCTTGTCTGACTGCCCTAATATTCCCAGAACTATATTGACTAGGAGTGGTGATAATTGACATCCTTGTCTTGTTCCTGATTTTAAAGTGAAAGCTTTCAGTTTTTGTCCATTTAGTATAATGTTGACTGTTAGTTTTGTCATAGATGGCCTTTATAAGATTGAGGTAGATACCATCTATTCCAAGTTTCTATAGGGTGTTTATCATGATCAGGTATTGGGCTTTATCAAAAGCTTTTTCTGCACCTATTGAGATGATGATGTGATTTTTGTTTTTGGCTCTGATGTGATGTATTGCATTTATTGATTTGCATATATTAAACCATCCCTGCATTCCTGGAATAAATCCCACTTGGTCGTGGTGTATAATCTTCTTGATGATTTGCTGCATTCTATTTGCTAACATTTTATCGAGCATCTTTTTTTTCTTTCTTTTTCGTTTTTATTAGTACCAGGGATTGAACTCACGACTGCCTGCTTGCAAGGCAGGCACTTATGCTGCTGAGCTAAATTCCTAGCCCCTTATTGAGCATCTTTGCATCAGTGTTCATTAGTGAGACTGGCCTATAGTTCTCTTTTTAGTTAGGTCTTTCTCTGCTTTTGGTATCAAAGTGATACTTGTTTCTAGGAATGAGTTAGGGAGCACTGCTCCTTTTTTGATTTCATTGAAAAGTTTAAGAAGTGTTGGAGTCAACTCTTCTCTAAATTTCTTGTAGAATTGACCGGAGCCGCGGGAGACAGGAGACCAAACTCGAGCAGGATCAGCTCTCAAACTTTATTGCGTACAGCGAACCGGACCTGACAAGGTCCGCCACCCTCAGTGTTGGTTCCTCTTCCGCCCGTTGGGGGCAGGAACAGCCTCTTATAAGGGGAGGCAGTATCCAATCACAGAGAAGCGCGTCTAACAAGCTGATAGGCTAGCGTCACGGGTAACTGGGCAGACATGACAATTTGGCGGGCTTGTTCAGGCCGGGAAGAACCCGGAAGCAGGAAATGGGCGCCATCATAGGCGTCTTCCCACATAGAATTTAGCCATGAATCCATCAAGACCTGGGCTTTGTTCATAAGTTTTTAATCACATTTTCAATTTCAATAGCTGATATTGGGTTATTCAAAATGGTTATATCTTCTTGATTGGGCTTTGGTACTTCATATGTTTCTAGAAATCTGCCCATTTCCTTGTGTTTTCCACTATATGTGAGTAGAGATTTTCAAAGTAAGTCTTTATGATCTTTTGAATTTCTATGGGGTCTGTAGTGATTTCTCTTTTCAGTTCTTATTGCATGAATTTGAGTTTTTCTTTTTCTTGACAAGGTTGACTGGAGGTTTATTACTTTTATTTATTCTCTCAAACAAACCAGCTCTTCAACTCATTAATTTTTTGTATTGCTTTTTTAGCTTCAATTGCATTAATTTTTGCTCTGATCTTTCCAATTTCTTCTCTTCTATGGGCTTTGGGTTTTACTTGCCCTTTCTTTTCTAGGAGCTTGAGATGTAGCATCAGGTTATTTGTGCTACCTCCATTTTCTTGATGTGACAATTTATTGCTATACATTTCCTTCTTAGGATCACTTTCATTGCATACAACAGGTTATGGTATGTTGTATCCACATTTTCACTGAATTGTAGATATTGCTTTATTTCTTCTTTAATTTCATCTGTAGCCCACTGGTTGTTTGGAAGTCTGTTATTTAATTTCCATGCATTTATGCTGGTTTTGTAATTTCTTTTGCCATCAATTTCCAATGTCTATGCACTATGATCAGATTTTATGCATGGGATAATTGCAATCCCATTGCATTTACTTAGAATGTTTTATGAGTTAATATATGGTCTATTCTGGAGAATGCCTCATGTGCAGCTGAGAAGAATGTGTATTCTGGTGTGGTTGGGTGGAACACTCTGTAAGTATCTACTAAATCCATTTGCTCACAAGTATCACTCAGTTCTATTATTTCTTTGCTGATTTTTTGTCTAGTTGATGTATCTCTTTGTGACAGTGGGATATTAAGGTGGCTTATTACAATTGTGTTCTTGTGTATTTGATTTTTCATGTCCATTAGTATTTGTCTTAAATAGTTGGGTGCTTCTGTATTTGGTGCATATATATATATATATATATATATATATATATATATAATTGTTAGTTCTTCTTCTGGAAGTTTTCCACTAACAAGTATGCAATGACCTTCTTTATCTCTTTAGTCATTTGGGCTTGAAGTTCATATTGTCTGCAAACAGCATAGGTATCCCTGCTTTTTTCTGGGTTCCTGTTGCATGGAATAATGTTTTCCATCCTTTGAATTTTAGGCTATGAGTTTCCTTTTAAGTTAGATGTGTTTCTTGCATATAGTGTAATATGGGATCCTGTTTCTTGATCCATTCCGTCAACCTATTTCTTTTGATAGGCGAATTGAGGCCACTTACCTTTATGGATATAAATGTACAGTTATGTATTGGCTCAACTTTGCCATGTTATATTCTATTGTTTGTTTTCTGCTTTTCTCCTTTGTTTAATTGTTTGCCCTGCCTGGTGGTGTTTCTGCTGTTGTTCTGGAGATTATGGTCATTTTTGTCTCTATCTAGTACGCCTTTCAATACTCTTTCTAGGGCTGGTTTTGTGAACATGAATTCTTCAATTGTTCTTTGTCATGGAAGTATTTTGTTTCTCCACTGAATTTGAATGGAAGTTTTTCTGGGTATATCAGTCTGGGTTGAAAGTTGTTTTCTTTCAGGGATTGAAATACTTCACTCAAGCTTATGTTAACTTGAGGGTTTGTGCTGAAAAGTCTGCCATGATTCTGATGTCTTTTCTCTAACAGTTTTAGTATTCTATTTTTATGCTGTATGTCTGGGATTCTAATTATTATATGTCTGGATGTAGATTTATGTTGCTTGTGACTCTTTGGCATTCTGTATGCCTCCCTTATCTGTATATCAGGTTTCTCCCCATGTTTGGGAAATTTTCTTCTATTACTACTCTGAGTAGTTTACCTACATCATTTGCATTGACCCCTGCATCTTCATTGATGCCTATTAGTCTTACATTATTTCTCTTGGCGTCATCCTGAAGCTGATACATTGTCATTTCATGTTGCTTTGTTGTTTTGAAAAGTCCTACCTTTTCATGGCTGATGACTATAATCCTATCCTCAAGGTCTGAAATTCTATCTTCAGCTTCATTTACAGTTTTTCCAGCTTTTTAAAAAAATTTTATTTAAGGAGAAAAAAGAAAAAAAAACAGAAAAAGCGTATAAGTTATACAGAATTTCAGAAAAAATAAACAGTAGAAAATCACTAGTTGATTACATATTGTCATCTTAGAAATAGTTGTTGAAGTTACAAAATTAAAGCATATAGAAGGGACTTTCAAACAGTGAGACTGGAAACAGTTTTGTTCAATGATCCAACAAAACTCAGTAATATGGTTATCTATCTTATACACTTAAGATAGCAGTTATATCTTTTAGATAACTTTCTTTTCCTTTCTTTGCGACCGCCTGCTTGCAAGGCAGGTGCTTATGCCGCTGAGCTAAATCCCCAGCCCCTACTTTTTTTTTTGAAGGAAGTAAAACCAAATGTGACATACCAGGACAGAGTCAGTCAAATCAAAAGAATGGACATAATACATAATGTAAAAATAAAATACAAGGTGATCAACAATGGTTACCATAATGCCTCTTGTTATCTTAAAAAGAACTGCCTATATCATCAGTTATAATAAAATTGAACAAAACAGTAAAGAATGAGACCAATAAAACCAAACATTGGAGAAATTAGAGGACTTCAAAAGAAGATAATAGTCAACCAGAATGGGCATCATAATGAATCTTATTGTCTTTACAGTTGTTGCCTATACTTTTGAGCTTAGTAAGCAAAGCAGAATACAGGAAAATCAGTCAAAGCAAGATGGTGAGGGTTATACAGAGTTTCAAATCAAGTTAATAGGAAATCAAAGTGGGTTACTATAATGTATCCTGCTTTTTAAAATTTTTCCCTTAATTGAAAAGGAAAAAATAATTAAAAAAAGGAGACTGAGATAAAAGAGGGCATAACAACAGAACAATGCAGGTCAATAAGCAAAATAGTGTTTCACCACAAGATATCCTGACATAAAAATAGTTACCATAGTGTCTCTTTCCTTGAAATCTTTGGGTATAACTTCATATACTGTAGCACCAAACATATCAAGACACTATAAAACCATTCAAGAGAATGACATTATTACAGGGTATTTAGAACCAATTAACAGAAAATGAACAATGGTTTCTGTATAATCTCTTTGTCTATAAAAGTTTTTACTTATATTATCTATATATAATAAAATCCAATAAGATACAGCCTTTTAAGACCGATGGAGACAGAAGAATACAAGTTTGATGGGACTTCATGATGATACTAAATCAGCACTAGTTATTATGATGTCTTGTTTTCTCCAAAATAGCTGTTCCTACCATCCGATCTTCTCTGCCTCATTTCTGGTGAGCTCTTTTTCTGTCATTTGTTGTCAGTTTGTCTTCTTCATTTCGCTTTTTGCTCCATTCATTGTGGCTTTCTGCCACTGTTTCTGAAGTCTTGGTATTTTTCTTTTTTAGAATATCCTGCAGTATTCTCTGTAGAGTTGAATTGGTGGTTGCAAATTCCCCTAGTTCCTCTTTATCCTGGAAGCACCTTGCTTTTCCATCAATTTCTAGGGACAGTTGTGTAGGATATATCAATCTTGGCTGGAGGTTGTTATCTTTCAAAGCTTGAATTATTTCGTCCCATGCTCTTTGTGATTTGTTGGTTTGTGCCGAGAAGTCTGCTGTAATTCTGATGGGTGTTCCCTTATAAGTGATCTGTTTCTTGTCTTTGATGGCTTTTAATATTCTGTTCTTATATTGGATTTCTGGAATTTTGATTATTATATGCCTGGGTGTTGTTCTGTTTGGGTGTAGGTGGCTGGGGTCCTGTATGCCTCATACATCTGAGTATCTTTACCTTTTGCTAAATTAGGGAAATTCTCCTGAATTATTTCTGTGAATAGCTTTTGTAGTTCATTTGTTTGAGTCCCTACTTCTTTTATGTTCTTAATTCTTAAGTTATAGATCCTCTTATCATCTTCTAGTCTTTGTATTATTGCTGTTTTCTTGTTATTTTTTAAGAAGTTTTTCATTTCATGCTCCCTCCTTACAAATCTGTCCTCCAGTTCTGATAATCTATCCTTAGTTTCTTTTAAGCTATTATGCCAGCTTTCAATAGAGTTTTTAGTTTCCTGGTAATCTCTTTAAACCTGCTTCACGTATTCTATGTTTTCTCTATTTTCTCCATCAAACAATTCTCCCCTTTTTTTCTGTTCTTCCATTCCACCATCTGTTTTTTCTTGGGTGCTTAGCATTTCTCTAACTATTCTACTTATTTCTTGCTTTATTTCATTAAATACTTCATTTTTGAACTTGTCTATGAGGCTCCGGAGATACCGCTTTATGTCTATAGGTGCTGTGTTTGATATTGCATGTTTTCTGTCTTCATTCTCTTTTACATTTACCTTTCCTGCATCAGTGTTCTCAGGATTGGGGACTGAGGACCCTTTCTTGTTGCTCCCTTTTCCCATACTTTTTGTTCCTTCCATACAAGCGTATGTAGGAGGCCCAGTTTTTTGTTGTTGTTGTTGTTGTTTTTGTTTTCTCTTTGTCTGTTACAGTTTGTTTGAATCCACTGGCTAGGTGTTCCCACCCACTGCAGTGTACTAGGGAGACACAGACCTGGGCAGCCTCTGTTGGGCCTGCCCCTCCAGGTCAACCTACTGAATGCTTCACTGCTAGGGTGCACCGCCAGGCGCAGGGACCTGATTTGGGCTAGCCTACACTGGATCTTAGTCCGCGGTGTCACCAGGTCAAGCACTCCCCACCAATCCCGCTTGAGAGGGGAATATGTGACTAAAGTCACTGCAGGGCCCTGTTCTGGCTAGTCTGCTGTTCTCAGAATGTCCTCTGAGACATGGTTTCTGTATAATCTCCTGGTCTTAGTCTATGGAACCTCTTAGTCTATGAAAGGGTCCCCATTTCTCTCACTCACCGCAGGTCGATGCAGGGCTCCCTGCCAGTCCCACTCTCAACGCCATTCGGTTTGCCGATTTCAGCTCTTAGAGCTTTTGCGCGTCTCTCTCCCTGCCTTGCGGATTGGGACGCAGTATCGGCAGCAGGAAATTCAAATCATGGCTTCCAATGGCGTGGGATCCAGCTTCCGCACTGAGATTTTATCTGTTCCTGTTACAGCATTAGGATTGCATTTCCAGTTGGTTTCTCTCAGCTTAGTTCGTTCCTGGGTTGGCAGGGTACATCTCCCCTCACGTAGGACTCCTCACACGGCACCGCTCCTGGATTCTAAACTGGTAATTTCAGAGAGCCTCCATGGCTGCTGTTATTTGTCTGCCATTTTCTCCTGGAAGTCCAGTTTTTCCAGCTTTTAATAGAAGTTTTTGTTTCTTGGATAGCTCCTTGAATTTGTTTCATAGACTCTTCTTGTTTTCTATATTGTTCATTCAAGGTTTCATATGCCTGTATTTTTTAAAATCTATTTCTTCTCTGGTTATGCTGATCAGCTCCTTTACTATGGTTGTTGTTCCTGACTTTACGTGAAAAACTATTGCTAATTTGATTTCCTCTATAGCCTCATGAATTTGTTTCTTTATTTCACTTGCGAACTTTTTGGAGATTTCTGAGGTATGACTTTTAAAGTCCTGTATTTCAATGTCACCTGTACCTGTTCCTGATGGGCTAGATGTTTGAGATTGCATTTTGCTTCTTTGTCATTTTCAGCCTTTGGGCAATTATTTGGTCTTTCAATCCCAAAAGTCTCTACTGTTGGTAGTGTGGATCTTAGGGTCCTACTGTGTGGTTAATATTTGTCTGATTGCTGAGCACCACAGTGAAGAGGAGGGTCACTCATCTGAATTCCTCATGCAGGGCCTGTTAGGTGAGTCCTATATTCTTCCTGGGCTAGCCTACCAAGCCTAGTAGTATTTTTTTTTTTTTTTTTGGTCTTTTTCCTTTTTATCGGTACTGGGGATGGAACTCACGACTGCCTGCTTGCAAGGCAGGCGCTATGCTACTGAGCTAAATCCCCAGCCCCCAAGCCTAGTAGTATTGATGTAGGTCAACTCTTAGTTCCTGCTGTTACTTTATCTTCAGGTTACTCTAGGTCACCAAATCTCCCTGTGTATAGTGTTTGTATCAGCTGAGTCCCTACTGTGTCCCTATTGTGTGCTTGTGTGTTTCATAAGCCCTTTTGATTTTCTCCAAGTTGGGGGAGTCCTTATTGGCACACTTCTCACTTTGCCTGATGGTCATTGTGTGGAGGAAGGAGTTACCCACACTCTTGCCAGACTCACCAAGGTCTTAAAGTTAGGTGGAGAGAGCTTTACTACTGGCCCTATTTACCCATTGTACACCTCTAGTTTAGGGGCATACTCACCACACTGACTGGAGCCTGCTGAGATCCTCTGTTGAGTGAAGCAGTTGCTGAATCTCTCGTCAAACTAGTATAATTAATCTGCTGTAGTCCAAGATTCTGGGAGAAAGAATGGGAGCTGAAGATCAACAGCAGCATTAGGTCCAGGAGGTAGAGAGTGTCGCCAAGGCACCAGCAGGTGTTGTGGGTCCCAGCATCCACGGGGCATGAGGGAAGCACAATACGGCCAAGTGGTTTTGCTCTTTTAGATTCCCTCTGGACCACTAATGATGGTGGAAAGTACTCCTGTGAGATTATTGTGAGGACCTCTTGCTGACATAGTTAAAAAGCTGCCTATATGAGGAGGAGCCTTGCAGAGAGTGAAAGCAGTTAAAAGCTTTGCCTCACTGCGGTCCACTGCCTCTGCTGCCAAGTTCGGTGACAGATCGAGCTCCACATAGCAAATCCAAACCAACATGCAAGTACTTTCACATGCTTGGGAATGGTGCACCCTCTGCCAGCCACTTCTAAAGGCAGCGTGGGAGGAGTGGAGGGTTTTACTGCCTGCAATTCCAGCTTATCCCTGGTCCTATTTGCTCTCCATTGGGGCTGGGGAGCCGGGGGGTACACAGCAGAGAGAGGTCACAAGTAGTTTTGTATTTCAATCTTAAACATGCATTTAACCAATTGCCTGTATCCTTTAACTTCTCCGTATCACATGGAATACATTCTGTTTGTTCTGTTTTCCTAAATGCCTCTGACTGATATGATATTTGGAATCAGAAGTGGTCCCAGGACATAGTTTTGAATATTGTATTCTATAGTTGGTGTGACTATGTTCTTAGCTTTGAGCACAGTAATGATATCTTCATCCAACAAAAATAGATATGAGAAATCCATAGTATACTTATCATCATACTGTGGTGTATAGGGTGATTGTGATGAAAACTTATGAAGTTCACTGGGGATCAGAAGACCTTTACTCTTAAAAGTGATGCTTCTGAGCTCACCAGAGAGCCTACACAAAATGCTATGTTTGGGTCTCTACTTCTCAGTCTGAGTCACATAAGAACAGAGAGCTTCTATGGCAGCCCTATAAGAATCACATATCTTACAGTATCACGGCTGATCTTGACTGAAAATTCAGTTCTGTGGGTTGCAGAATTGCAAAGTAAATGAAATTCAAACTCATAAATCTCATATATGAAAGTTATTGTTAAAGACTATGATGTGTCTTAGAGTAGGGCCCATGTAGTTGGACTCAGGAAAAGCTAGGAATCTTGGATCAGTCTATGTGTGTGCCTCGTAGGCTTACATCATACTAGAAGACTAGTATGAAGGCCCTGTGATAAGCTCAGGACACAGGCAAGTCACTTCTCATTATGTCTAGGATTATATCTAGAATCAGATCTCTGTTTGCTCCAGGGGACAAATACAAAGTCTGGCATAGAAAAAATGAAATACTTTATACTCTAAAATAATTGCAAAGGGTAGTTCTTTTTTAGCAACACAAATGAAGTAATGTTAATTTTAAGGCTATTAGACCAAAGGAAATGGAATATTAAACACTGAACTAAGCCAAATATACTGATAGGGTGCCAAACTGTGGGCCATCACATGAGTTACTAGAGAGTCTTGGAGCCACAAGAGTAGATAGCTGTGTTACATACATTTAGTGAGGTTAAGATGCCAGAATTTTCCTGTCATGATGCAGGAGGAGGAAGCCAAAGTCTTGAAGAAATTGATGTGTTAGGGTAGAGACATAGTCTGTGGTCTGCACATTCACCCCACCCCAAAAATCATGTCTTTTAAAGGAGTTGAGAAGTCATACCTCTCACCAACACATTGAGAAGTACCTTAAGGAAAGGCTGCCAGTGTCTCTTCATAGTATTCTCAATGATAGTTTCTGTTGGTTACTATGATAGTATATGACACTGCCATTGAAATGGACTTCCTGATTGCAGAGGGGATAATGCAATCCCACAGTGACAAAGACCAGTTGGTAGTGATTAACTAGAAGAGGCAAACTTAGTGTGTTACTGTAATAAGCAATGAGAAAAAAATGGCAACCTGACTTATTTGCATAGAAGGGACCATTAGTGGTGTCTAATTGATTAGAGTATAAATGGAATGAAATAGATTATCACCCAATTAAAATATTACTTTATATTATAGGATCCATATGGGCTGGAGATTTAGCTTAGCAGCATAAGCACCTGCCTGGCAAGCACAAGGTTGTGAGTTTGACTCCCGGTACCAAAAAGCAAAAACCAAAAACCAAAAAAAAAATTATAGGACCCATAAAACTGATTTGAGCACTAAAAAGAAGGATATGGCCTGTCACTCAGTTTCCAAAGTCATGCCTCCATAATCCACCCAGAAATGTGCTTTACTAGTCTTCTATGTGGTTCCCAAGCCATTGAAGTTGACACAATTAAGGGTAACTACCATTTCTCACCCTTTATCAACTTGACACTCAAACATGTCTCTTTAAATAGTATTTAATCTCCAAGTAAACACAAGGTCATAATTCCTAACAATGTCATACAATTGAAAGACAATAATCCCTTCCTCAAAATCTTAACAGTCAGGGGCTGGGGATTTAGCTCAGCGGCATAAGTACTTGCCTTGCAAGCAGGTAGTCGTGAGTTCGATCCCCGGTACCAATAAAAATGAAAATGACAAAAAAAAAAAAAAAATCTTAACAGTCTCAATCTTTGCAAAAATGTCTGGGTCAAAAATCTCCTTTGACATTTAAGGGAAAAATATTTTAAAAAGAACATTACATAATGCCAAGGTTCAATGGCACAGAGTAAACATTCTCATTCCAAAAATGAATAGGGAGATTTTAAGAAAAGAAAGGATAGGACCAAAGCAAGACTGAAACCCAGCAGGCCAAACATTAAATCCAGTAGCTCCATATCTGAAATCTGTAGCACATTAAATCCAGTAGCTCCATATCTGAAATCTGTAGCATGTGGTAGTGAGACATGAGTTGGGCAGCTCCATACCTATGACCTTGCCCATTGCAGCCAACACAGCCTCCCTATTGACCTAGTTCCCCTCATAGTCTGCAGTTTTCCTCAGCAGACATTCCATTTCCCTGGCATGTCTGACTTCTTGGAGTCTTCAAGTCTCATTGCACTTTGACTTCATTCCCACAGCTTCATGCACCACCCTCTCAAGGATTCCTTGCTTGGCATTCCAGGCTTCTCTCTGAAAAATGGGCAGAAGCTTTCCTGACATCACAACTGTTGCATTCTGCATGCCAGTAAAAACAGCACTGCACGAATTCAGCAATGCTTGATTCAGTCTTCCTTGAACCAAGGCTGCTGTGGCCTCTGAGTACCTGAATGGCTAAGGAACAGGTAAATAATTTCTGGAGAATCAGCTTCGTAGGGCTCCCGGGAATTCTTTTTGTTTTGCATCTTTTAATTCAGTTTAAAGGAAAAGAGTCTAATTTGTCTCATGGTGTCAGTAGACTTGGTTTATGCTTTTCTGGCTTGGATGCTGGAACATCATGGCTGAAGAGCATAGTAAAAAAAAGCTACTCATTCATGGCAGTCAAGAAATAGGTCAGGGAAACAATGATGTACAGGAGGGGTCAGGCATCATAGATAGCACCGAAAATCATACCTCCATTACACACCCAGAATTGTGCATTATTAATCCCCTAGGTGGCTCCTCCACCAAGCAAGTTGACATAATTAAGCTTAATGACCACAGTGGGTTAGGAGTTTGGGCAAGCCTCTGCAGAGATAATTTGTCCTCCAAATGGTGGTGTTGGCCCTGGGTGACCTGAATGCTTCTAAGAGGATCCAAAATGGTTTGATTTCATACATCTCTTATCCTTCCACAGATGGCTTCAATGGTTAAGGTAGGTTAGGATGGCTAGGTCTCTCTTTTCTTGTGATACTAACTGGTCTCACACCTACATATGGGGCTCAGTTTTCCCCCATGTGACCTCTCTTCTACATACCATCTCATTTTCTAGGACATTTTTCAACATAGATTTTCTTCCAATAGGATAACCTGGATAGTATCTCATTTCTGAGGACCTGCTCCTATATAGGCTCTTTCTTCCAGTAGGATAAGCTAGACTTCTTTCATACAGTAGCTGGAATCCACCCTGAGCAAAAGCAGATGCTACAAGGCATCTTGGCATCTGACCTCAGGAATCCTTAGATGCTATTTCCATCATATCATACTGAACAGAATAAGCTACAAGAGCAGCCCAAATGCAAAGCAATAAATAAAGCAATACACACAACTCAGTGAAAATGTGGAAACACTATACTGTAATCTGTGGAATGCAATGAAAGTGGTTTTAAGAGGAAAATATATAGCAATAAATTGTCATATCAAGAAAACAGAATGAGCACAAATAAATAACCTAATGCTTCATCTCAAGCTCCTAGAAACAGAAGAACAAGTTAAACCCAAAGCTCATAGAAGAGAGGGAATTGTAAAAATTAGAGCAGAAATCAATGCAATTGAAACTAAAAAAAAAAAAATACAAAGAATTAATGAATCAAAAAGCTGGTTATTTGAGAGAATAAACAAAATTGGCAAATCTCTAGTTAATCTTATGAAGAAAAAGAAAGAAAAATCCCAAATTCATGCAATAAGGACTGAAAAAAAGGAAATTACTACAGATCCCATGAAAATTCAAAAGATCACAAATATCTACTTTGAATATCTTTACTCAAATAGAGTGGAAAACACAGAGGCAATGGACAGATTTCTAGAAACATATGAATCACCAAAGCTCAATCGAGAATATATAACAATTTTGAATAATCAAATATCAGCTACTAAAATAAAAAATGTGATTAAAAACTTGCCAACAAAGAAAAGCCCAGGTCCTGATGGATTCAATGCTGAATTCTATCAGAAATGTAGAGAAGACTTAATGCCAATACTCCTCAAACTCTTCAATGAAATTGAAAGAAAAGCAGTGCTCCCTAAATCATTCCTGGAGGCAAGAATCACTCTGATATCAAAACCAGAGAAAGACCCAACTAAAAAGGAGAACTATAAACCAATCTTGCTAATGAACACTGATGCAAAGATTCTCAATAAAATACCGGCAAATAGAATGCAGCGAAGACAAAAACCACATGATCACGTCAACAAATGCAGAAAAAGCTTTTGATAAAGTTCAACACCTGTTCATGTTAAAAACCCTTCAGAAACTTGGAATAGATGGCATGTACCTCCATCTCATAAAGGACATTTATGACAGTCCAACAGCCAACATTATACTATATGGACAAAAACTGAAAGCCTGCATTCTAAAATCAGGAACAAGATAAGGATGTCCACTATCACCACTCCTATGCAATATAGTTCTAAAAATATTAGCCATATCAATCAGACAAGAAGAGAAATAAAAGGAATAAAAATAGGAAAAGAAGAAGTTAAATTATCATTATTTGTAGATGACATGATATTCTACATAGAAGACCCCAAACACTCCATTAGCTGGACACAAAGTCAACACTCAAAAATCAACAGCATTCCTGTACACATACAAAAAAATCACTGAAAGAGAATTACAGAAATATTGCCTTTCACAATAGCATCTAAAAAAGTCAGATACTTAGGAATCAACCTAACCAAGAATGTAAAAGACCTACCTATATGCTGAAAATTATACTACTCTAAAAAGGAGATTGAAGAGGATATTAGAAAAATGGAAGGATATTCCTTGCTCTTGGCTAAGAAGAACAAACATTGTAAATGGTCATACGCCCAAAACTGTTACACAGATTCAATGCAATCCCAATCAAAATGTCACGAACATGCCTTACAGATCTAGAGAAAACACTCCTAAAATTCATTTGGAAACAGAAGAAACCCAGAAAAGGAAAGGACTCTGATTTCTGAGGACACACTATCATCCATTTGCTTTTGGATTCTTTTGAAAGTAATTCTGAGAAATGTCAAAAAGACTCAGGAAACTGAATGGGCCTTAGCTGGAGTCCTTGCTGGACAACAGGATTAGGTAAGGCAGCAAAGTAACTTCTTTTTCCTTCCTGCCTTTTACCTCCCTCTAGCGGCCGACACTGATACAACAACCAGCTGGCAAAGATGTACTGTAGTTTGTGTAGTCCTAGTCAGCCTAAGAGAAGCATGGGATTGGAGCTGAAAGGTCATAAATGAATAGGCTAAAAAGTATGTGTGACTATGTTAACACATGTGCACATGCTCATAACACATACACACATCTCTTAAGATTTTTGTGCACAATATTTTTGTATTACAATGAATTTTGTTCTCATTACAACAGCAAATAGAAACAAAAACAGGGTCACAGAAGAAACATATCTATCCTACTGCTGAAGAATGATCACTGTTAATACTTCTGTTTGGATCCTTCTAGACTTTTCCTTCAATGTATACATCTATATTTCTCATGCAATCACACTAAACATACAGTTTTCTAAATTGCTTAAAAAATAAAAACCTTTCATTTAGAGAACTAAATACTTGATCCTCTCTGGGAGGGCCATAACACTGTTTGTTCTGTTTTTATCCTTCTAGCATGAGAGTTCTGGAAGCCTTACCAGAATTCTGTACTAATCTGATGGCTGAAGACCTAAGGTTTGGAATCTACCCATTCCAGACTGTTAGGTACTTTGGTAGTGTTCCCTGATATTTTATCGTCAGGCTGTGAGAAGCAGAAGAGTTTTCTTGGTTGCTATGGATTTTGATGACACAAAGAATGTTCTCTATCTGATGCTGGGAAGACCCTAGGAGCTTACATTGCTCTTGTAGCAATCTATATCAACAACTGTCAACTTATCAGGTAAAAAGTTGGGTGAAAATTTCAGACACAAAAGTATTAAGTAAATAGAGTTTCTTATATTTTGTTTTCTGCAAGAACCTGGTTTTGTCAAAACAACCCCAATAGAGTATTTTAAAACAACAACAACAAACACCTTGCTGTATCATCAAAAATTGCTCATGTCGGTGGTCTATCACTTGAGAGGCTGAAACAAGAGGATCATAAGTTTAAGGTCAGCCTGGGCAACTTACTGAGACACTATCTCAAAATAAAATTAAATAATAAAAAGTAAGTAAGGCAGGGAATGTAGCTTAGTGTAAGATATCAGGTTTAATCCCCATTAATGAAAAACAACCCCACTCCCCAGAATTCATGTCAACACATATTTACTACAATATTTCAAATTATGAACCATCTCTAGGGGATGGGGCTGTGTTAAGGCACAGGGAAAAATGCTTTTTATTCTTTATTTGATAGTACCTCAGAATTATTTCAACTTAGGTTTCTTGGATTATTAATGAGGTAGGCAGTTATATGTATCTAAAGTGACCATTAAAAATGACTTTGTGTCTGTAACAGTTTTTTGTTGTTTGCTTTTTTGGAGTCTAGTAATTTTAAAGCATGGTCCTAGAACCTAACTTCTTAATGTATCCTGAATGTAGCCTGTGTTTTTTCCACAGTCCCCAGCTCAAGAAGCCCTGACTTCAACACTGCTCATCCAGCACTCCATCTCCTGGTCCTCCATTCTTGCTAATGATCTTAAATCCTCTTCCAATGAGTACACAGAGCTCTCATTCTCAGGCTCCCTCTTATCTTTTCATACTACATCCCACCAGATCCTTATCTGTAGCTATCTCTATTTTTTTCCTAGCTCATAGAAATTAAGGCATTTTGAACTTCAAGTCAATCCTTCTAAGTTCTTGATTCCATCCTTGTTAGAGTCCTCTGATACCTGAAAAGGAGAAAGGTGGGAGAGGAGACAGGAAGATGCCACTGAATATGAAGATTGAGGAAGAGAACATGCAAGGGAATAAGTATAGTTACCAAAAACTGGATAAAGCAAACAAACACACTGAGTGTGCTGGTATGTGATTGTAATTCCAACACTCTGGGAGGATGATGAAGGGGGACTGCAAGTTCAAGCACAGCAATTCAATAACTTAACCACCTTTGTGACTCACAGAGACCTGTCTCAAAATAAAAAATACAAACACACAAAAAGGAATGGGATGTAGCTCACTGTCAAGGCCCAGAGTTCAACCCCTAGGACTGAAAACAAAACTGAAACCAAAAAACAAGGGAACAAATTCTCTTACCTACCTAGACCCTCAGAAGGAACCAGCCCCATCAACTTCCGTCCATAAAGTTTAATTTTCATCTTCTCAACTCCACAAACATCATTGTTTCAAGCCATTAACAAAATTTGTGGTAATTTGTTAAAGCCACAACAGGAAATTAATAGGTATACAGGTCAACCATGCACTGCGGACTATATTACATTAAAGGGGTCTCTATACAAAGATATGGAGTGAGGATAAGGTGTTTAGGAAGAAATATCAAAGATGACAACTCTACGGCAATTGTTTTGTAGAGATGGTCCAGCTAAAGAAAGCAGTATCTGCAAAAGCAGAAAAAGAAAGAGAAAGGAGGGAGGGAGAGAGTGACAATGACTTCAACAAGGGAATAGACTATTATTTTAAATACTACTTAATTATAGTAAATGTTTTATGCTAGGTACTGTTCTAAAGCATACTATACTCCTGTGAAGTAGATACTATTAGTATCCTCATTTTTCCCATGGGGATACAAAGGTCTGGAGGAATTAAGTAACTTTCCACAGATCACAGAACTAATTATGGCTGTTTCCAAAACCCACGAATATGCTCTCTTCACATATTGGTGGGGACATCAGGTTAAATGAACTATCAGACATATATTAATGCGAAAAGATCAGCATAAGTTGGAATATCAGCTAGTCTTAGACACTGACCGAAGGAGGATGGGAATGATAGTCAGGTGACCTTTATAGTTCTTTGATGAGATGAAGTTTTGCGGGTCAGCTAACGCAGGAAGGAACCCTTCCTGACTACTCAAAGAAAACCCCCGTTTTCGTTTTCATCTCCACACTTAGAATAACCTCTTAAATTTCACTTCTGTTTTCCTAATGGCTGAGGCGCAGTTGGGGGTTGGGCCTCAGTTTCCACCTCTGTTAAAAGCCTGACAGTGGGGCTCAATACTTCCTGCGGGATGAGGGGCGGATAAATATTGACTCTTCACCCAAAATCACAAGAGACTCTGATGGAGCAGTACCAGTTTAAATCTCCCTCGCCAAGAAAGTCTCGCGAGGATTTGGTTACTGAGGGCTGGATTACGGACTGGGGTTTCCCAGTCCTGTTTCCGCCCAGGACTCCGCCTCGTAGGCCACCCCCACCTCCGGTCGCCCCTCCCGGCCCCGCCTCATCATTCTCCCAGCCCCGCCCCATCGCCTCCCCGGACTCCGTCTCACTCCCCTCAGTTCACCACACCGCTTGGTCTCACCCAGCTCCGCCTACGCTCGGCTTTCCCCTGCCGCGCAAGATGGCTGCTCCCATGCGGCCAGTCTCCGATCCGTGGAACCGCGTGAGGATCCTCAAAGCCGGGTGCCGCAGCACGGTGACAGTAAAGGACCCCAGCGCCGCCCTGAGTGAGTGAGGGTCTGGCGAGTAGGACCCACGTTTCCCCGGGCGCCCGAGGGCCGCGATGCACTGTGGGGGCGGGACTTCTGAGCCCGGGGCACGCCGGGAAGGGCGCGGACGCTGGGAGGCTTTGGTTCCGCTGTGTTCCGCCGGTCCTTGTGTCTGGCTGGGGACGCAGGGCCAAAGTTAGGGGGCTGCCTGGGAGTGTGTGTTGGGTTAGGCCCGGCGAATTTACCCTTTTTCACTAATCCCTTCTGCCTCCGGAGGAATTGGGGACGGTCCCAAGCGCTTTGGACTTTAATCACAAGGTCTCTGGACCTCTGTTTCTGATACGTTAGACGGAGCTTATCTTCCCTGACTCTTGTGGCATGATACGAGCCTCCTGACTTACAGACTTTCGTACCGAGTGTTCTGCGAACTGTTTTACCAGCCTGTAGTGATTGTTGATTAGGCATTGGGGCATAGTAGGAGCTGGTTAGTTAGTTGACTTTTCTGTGCCTCGGTGCACGTTTTTCCCTGTTTTTTTTTTTTTTTCTTGACAATTGTAAACGTGTGCATTTTATCCATTCCATCAACTGAGATCTGTTTTACAAATACAGAACTGCACAAAAAAACACAAAATGTCACAAAATATAAGAAGTACAAACTCATTACTTAAGAAATACGACGAAAGTAGTTGAAATGAGTTAGATTTTAGATTGTAGATGCTGTTTGACCCATTAACCCGTACAAGCTATTTACAGACATTTTTACATAATACATTCCTACTTTCCCTTTTCGAAAAATTTTAAAGAAACAGGATATTAAGACAATATTCTGCTATAAAAATGCCAGGGAGTGCACTTTCAAGTGGGAATAAAGAAGTACCCAGTCTCTAGGTCTGACTTAGGGAATAAAAGAGTTGATCCTATAAGAAAAGGATTTGGAACACTGCCTGGTATAGTAAATAAGCACTAAAATTACAGCAGTTACTGTTTTAGCAAATTTATGTTGCTCAGCGCAGTCAAGTCATCACAACCTCCTTTGTATCTGTCTTAATCCAGTTTACAGATACATCTTCCTCAGAAATTCATTAAGAGGATTCCAGTTAGGCAGGGGAAATTAACCAGTTCCTCATCCCGATGGCAGTTAGTCCTGTTTTCGCTTAGTCATTGGAACAGTAGCAAAATTCTCTGTTATGTAGAAAGTTCGGCTTCCACCCACCTAGTGAGATAGGTTCTTACCTTAGAGCTGTTACTTGTATCTTAGCTTTTCAGATTAGGAAGCACCTAGGCATCTGTGTGTAGTCAGGTACTCACCAAATATTGTAACTGATAGTGGGCATGGTGGTTTCTTTTTCGAATATAGTTGTACTTTGTATTTATTCTGGGAACTCGCATCCCAAAATTTGCAGGTGCTCAGGTAGCTGGTATAAAAGGGTGTAGTGTTTGTGTATAGCCTACACAAGCCACTTGTATATCTTAAATTAGCTCTAGATTACTTATAATACAATGTAAATGCTGTGTAAATAGTTGTAATATTGCATTGTTTAGTGACAAAAATGTGAGTACAGAGTAAGGATCTAATTTTTTTTTCCAAGTATTTTCCATCTGAGGTTGGTTGAACCTACAGATGTGCAACTTCTAGATATGGAGTACAGGCTGCATATGCTTGTCTGTTTTAAAGTGGTATTCAAATACAGTTCCATTGACTTGGAAGACTGTTGGTTGATTGTATCTTACATGCATAGCAAAATGGGGAGCTTAAAGATGATGTGACATATACCCAATTTCATGTTACTTAAGGCGTAAGTATACCCAAATGTCTCAGAATAGTCACAGGAAAGATTACATAAGTCATGGTGTGATGTAAAGAAATAAAATATATTCTGTTCTGTTTTGATTTGTCAATGATTTCCTGGAGTTTATATCATCTGTCACTTTTTCCCAGCCTCTCAATGTAATTAATATCCTTTGTTATGTTCATGCAGACTAATTTTTAAAAAATTTAAAGCAAAAAAGGAAAGATGCTTTTTTAATTGTATTTTTCGTATAGTAAACTTAATGTAGAAATACACACTGTCTCAATTAAACATCTCTTTTAGAATTTTGTATTGCGGCTGTAATTAAAGAATGCCATCTTGTTACACGGTCTCTGAGGAGCCAAATGCTAGATGCAGAAACAGATGTGTTATGTTCCGTCCTTTACAGCAACCACAACAGAATGGGCCGCCACAAACCCCATTTGGCCCTCAAACAGGTGAGGAGGAAGCCTGCTATTTTGTGAAGATGTAACTCACACTGCCACTTACTACTTTATAATTTATGGAAATCTCAGTAAATTACTTGTGATTTGTGGGTCTATAGACCACTCTTACATATGGGCTGTCTCTCTTGCTGCCTTCCCTAAAACCATTTGAAAAGCAATTTTTGTTCAAAAGAAAAATGTTTTTAGTAATTCTGTCTCATTCATTTTTAGTGGGTTAAGTAAAAAAAAAAAAAAATTAAATATGTGTATGTAACAGTGAATTTTCCTAGTTCAAAGATACAGTGATTTGATCAAGACAAAATGTTTAGACATTAAAAACAATTTTCTGAACATAATTGAAATCCTAAAACTTTTTTGTGTTGTTTTGTTTTGTTGGTGGGGCGCTACTGGGAATTCAACTCAAGACCTTGAGCTTGCCAGGCTGAGCTATATACCCTCCCCCCAAAACTGTTTTAAACAAAGTTATAAACTATTTATTGTGGAATATATATCTAATCAATAGTGTGCTGGAATAACTGTACGTCTAACAAATTGTGGTAAAAAGTAATTTTGTGTAATTTTTGGAGTGTAAGACAGAGTTGGACCCTCCAGTTTGGAGACTGCACTATTGCAAAGAAACTCTTAAACTGAGTTTTTTAGGTATTCATATATTTATTTACTTTATTAATTATGCATGTAGTGTTTGGAAGTCCAGTAGGCCAGAACTGCTTTGCAAGTAGTTGTACCACTTTCTGTGTGCCAAATCTGTGCCTGATGCTGTGTGTCTAGGAGTGAAAAGATAAACATAGTCACTAACTTTACAAATAAAACTCATAATTTAAGTTGAAAAGTATGAAGAGTTCCTCAATGGAGAAAGATCTAGCATCATGGTCTTTCTGTAACTTTTCTTCTCTAGGGTAGCTTTTATCTGCGTGTTCTCAGACCTAAGCAAACTACTTAATTTACTACCTTAAATTGAATGTAATACCTCTCTTGCTTCCTGATAATGAACAGTTACCCAGTCATGCAATTCAGTATTCTGTTGTCTGTGTTTTTGTTTTTTAAATGTAGCTCATTTGGTAAGTCATACTGTAAGGCAGTTGGCAAATCAAAATTTTCTCTACATCTGTTCTCTTCCCTGCATCTGTCATTTTCTTGCTTTAGACCTTGTTAACTTGGAGTTGTCTTATACTGATTTATGTTTTCTTATCTAGTATTTCCTACATTGTTGCATATTCTATATACCAAAATCAGGTTAATTGTCTTGTGGGTGTGCCCCCCCCCCCCCATCAAACCTAGGATCTTGAGCTTGTTAGGCAGGCACTGAGCTACATCCCCAACCTCTTAGGTTAATCATTTTAAAGCAACTTTAATTTTTAAGACTTCTCCATTGTATGTATCTTGAACAGTCTCCTTAGTTTGGCTTATGAGATCTGCTATTGTCTGGTCTCTTCAGCCTTCTTAACTCAGGCTTCACTTTTACCTTCAGATTTGTTCTGTTCCAGCCAGCCTGAACTCTTAATGAATCTACACACTCACCATGTTTGTTTCGTCTTGTGAGTCCTTGCTGTTCTGGCGCTTTGTGTGTTTCCAGCCTTTGTATCTGCTTGTGAAAGCTGTCTCATCCTCTAAGCTCCATTTTAAGCTTTCCCGATAGTGATCATCTTCTTTCCAAGGTGTAGCATTTCAAGTTGCATTTTTCTGATTATTAGTGAAATTGAATACATCTTTTTTTCTTGCTTGGTTATTGGGACTCTTCTTTATAGTTTTCTTACAGCATTTGCCACAGTGTGTGCTTTGGTACAGTTAATCTGTGTATGTGTTTTGGTTCTCCAGGATCCCTCAGATTGTCTCTTGCTTCTCTTACTGCTGACCTGATATTGTTACTACTTCTGCTGCCTTATAGCTGCTTAATATTTCATGGTTTACAGAGAACTTTTATAGACTTTAAAGTTTGTATTTTCTATTTTCAAAAGTGAGGTAGGAGAATTAGCCTCTCTAACCTTCCCCCAAGTGAAGCACAGAAAATATTCTTGATTCCTCTTACACGTGCTAGTTCTGTTTATTTTTATTTTTTAATTTTATTTTAAAAAGAAAAAAGTCAAGAAAAACAAAATCAAAAGAGATAACAGGAAACCCAAAACAATAACAATATAGGTTTTCAAAACAGAATGAAAAAAATTTAACAGTGGTTGTTATATTACATATTGTTCCTTTTTTTTTTTTTTTCCAAAGAAAGAAAAGAAAATTAAAGAAATAGAAAAACAGAAAAAGGGTTGGGGATTTAGCTCAGTGGCATAAGCCCCTGCCTGCCAAGGGTGAGGTCGTAAGTTTGATCCCCGGTACCGCCAAAAAAAAAAAAGAAAAAGAAAAACAGAAAAAAAAGGGTAGAACAATACCAAATTTAAAAAAATTAACATCATAAAAATGCTAGTTGATATGTTACCCATTATTATCTTAAAAAAGAGTTTCAAAGTCACAAAATCAAAGCATAAATAGTGGCTAGACACTCAAACATTTACAGTGCAAATCCTTCTGTTCAATGTTCCAACAAAAATTCAATAATATGGTCTTACACACTATATCGTTATTCCCTTTAGACCACTTTCCTGCCCTTTCACAGTATCTTATACTTTTATAAGTATAAGTTATACTTTTTGGATCTCTTTATTCTGTCAGTTTTTACTATTTTTTACACTAGAGAGACAATGTGGTATTTATTAATGTGAGTCTTGATAATTTCACTAATGAGGATATGCTCAGATTGCCTCCATTTACCTATAAAGGCCTCAAGATCATTCTTTTTTATAGCTGAATAGTGTTCCATTGTATAAAAATACCACATTTTTTCATCCACTCTGTGGTTGATGGGCATTTTGGTTGTTTCCAAGATTTGGCTATCACAACTCGTGCTGTTATGAATATGGTGCACATATATCTGACCTGACCTTTTCAATTTTTCTGGGAAAATACCCAGGAGGGGAATAGCTGGATTGAATGGAACCTCCAGTCCTAGTTTTTGAGGAATCTCCATACTGATTTCCATGGTGTTTGCACCAGTCTGCACATCCACCAACAGTGGAGCAGTGTTCCTTTTTCCTGTGTCCTTGTCAACATGTGTTATCAGTTGTTTTCTTGATGGCAGCCATTCTTTCCAGGGTGAGATGAAATCTCAGTGCTGTTTTAATTTGCATTTCTCCAATGACCAGTGATGGTGAACTTTTCTTCATGTATTTATTTGCCATTTGTATATCTTCATCTGAGAACTATGTTCATCTCCTATGCCCATTTTTGGAGACGGTCTTTGAATTTTGGGGATTTGATGTTTTTCAGTTCTTATATGTTCTGGATATAAGTCCTTTGTCTGAGGGATTGTTGGTTGAAATTCTTTCCCATTATGTGGGTTTTCTTTTCACTCTGTTGGTGATTTCTTTTGAAGTGCCGAAACTTTTTAGTAATGAGATCCCAGTTGTTGATTCTTTGAAGTGTTCCCCATGTGGTTTGCAATTTATTCATGAATTCTCTGCTTACCCTTATGTCTCCAAGATTTCTACCTACCTTTTCCTCCAGTAGATTTAGTTTTAATGTTTTAATGTTAGCTTTCTGTTTTAATATTTATATCTTTGATCCATTTAGACTTTAGTGTATGGTGACAGGCATAGGTCTAGTTTTAGTGTTTGGCATGTGAAAATCAAATTTTTCCAACACCATTTATTAAAGAAGCTATCTTTTTTTTCCATCGAACATGTTTAGTCCTTTATCAAATATAAGGTGGCTGAGTGTCGTTGTAGTAGTGTTTGTATCTTCTAATCTGTTCCTTTGATCCTCAGGTCTATTTCTTTGCCAGTACCATGCTGATTTTATTACTGTGGCTTTGTAGTATAGTTTCAAGTGAGGAATTGAGATGCCTCCTGACTTGCCTTTGTTGCCCAGAATTGCTTTTGCTATTCTAGATTTCTTCTGTTTCCAAATGAAATTTAGGAGATCTATAACGTATGTTGATGGTATTTTGATTGGGGTTGCATTGAATCTGTGTAACAGTTTTGGGAGTATGGCCATTTTCAGTGTTCTTCCTAACAAAGAACAAGGAATATCCTTCCATTTTCTAATATCCTCTTCAATGTCCTTTTTAGAGTAGTATAATTTTCAGCATATAGGTCTTTTCCATTCTTGGTTAGGTTGATTCCTAAGTATCTGACTTTTTTTAGATGCTATTCTGAAAGGCAATGTTTCCATAATTCCCTCTCAGTGAGTTTTTTGTTTGTGTACAGGAGTGCTGTTGATTTCTGAGTGTTGATTTTGTATCCAGCTATGCTGCTAAATTTGTTTATTACCTCTAGTAGTCTTTTAATGGAGTGTTTGGGGTCTTCTATGTAGAATATCATGTCATCTGCAAATAATGATACTTTCACTTATTTTTTTCCTATTTTTATTCCTGTTATTTTTCCCTCTTGTCTGATTAATCTGGCTAATATTTCTAGAACTATATTGAATAGGAGTGGTGATAGTGGACATCCTTATCTGATTTTAGAATGCAGGCTTTCAGTTTTTGTCCATTTAGTATAATGTTGGCTGTTGGATTGTCATAAATGTCCTTTATGAGATGGAGGTAAATTCCATCTATTCCGAGTTTCTAAAGGGTTTTTAACATGAACAGGTGTTGAACTTTATCAAAAGCTTTTTCTGCATTTATTGAGGTGATCATGTGGTTTTTGTCTTTGGCTGTTTTGATGTGATGTATTACATTTTTTGATTTGCATATGTTAAACCATCCCTGCATTCCTGGAATAAATCCCAATTGGTTGTGGTGTATAATCTTGTTAATGACTTGCTGCATTTTATTTGCCAGTATTTTATTGAGAATCTTTGCATCAGTATTCATTAGCGAGATTGGTTATAGTTCTCCTTTTTGGTTGGGTCTTTCTCTGGTTTTGATATCAGAGTGATACTTGCCTCCAGGAATGATTTAGGGAGCACTGCTTTTCTTTGAATTTCATTGAAGAGTTTAAGGAGTATTGGCATTAAATCATCTCTACATTTCTTATAGAATTGAGAATTCTGGGTTCCTGTTGCATGGAATAATGTTTTCCATCCTTTGACTTTTAATCTATGAATCCATCAGGACCTGGGCTTTTCTTTGTTGGTAAGTTTTTAATCACATTTTTGATTTCAGTAGTTGATATTGAGTTATTCAAAATTGTTCTATCTTCTTGATTGAGCTTTGAGGGTTCATATGTTTCTAGAAATCTGTCCATTTCTTCTGTGTTTTCCACTCTGTGTGAGTAGAGATTTTCAAAGTACGTGGTCATGATTTTTTGAATTTCCATGGGATCTGTAGTAATTTCCCGCTTTTCAGTCCTATGGCATGGATTTGAGTTTTTTATTTTTCTTGATAAGGTTGGCTAGAGGTTTATCAATTTTGTTTATTCTTTCAAAAAACAGCTCTTTGATTCATTAATTTTTTTGTTTCAATTGCATTAATTTCTGCTGTATTTTTTACAGTTCCCTCTCTTCTATGACCTTTGGGTTTAACTTGCTCTACTTTTTCTAGACGCTTGACATGTAGCATTAGGTTATGTATTTGTGCTCATTCTGTTTTCTTTGTATGACTAATTATTGCTATATATTTTCCTCTTAGGACTGCTTTAATGGCATCCCATAGGCTACAGTATGTTGTGTCTGCATTTTCATCGTATTGTAGGTATTATTTCTTCTTTGATTTCATCTGTTATCCACGGGTTGTTCAGAAAGTTGTTATTTAATTTCCATGTATTTATGCAGGTTTTGCAGTTTTTTTGCCATTGATTTCCAATTTTAGAGCACTATGGTCAGATACTATGTATGGGATAATTTCACTCCCTTTGCATTTACTTAAGAATGTTTTATGAGTTAATATATGGTCTATTTTGGGGAATGTCCTGTGTGCAGCTGAGAAGAATGTATATTCTGATGTGGTTGGGTGGAACACTCTGTAAATATCCACTAAATCCATTCATTCACAGGTATGATTCAGCTCTATTATTTCTTTGCTGAGTTTTTGTTTAGTTGTTCTATGTCTTTGTGACAGTGGGGTGTTAAGGTCTCCTATTACAATTGTGTTCTTCTGTATTTGGTTTTTCGTGTCCAATTGTGTTTGTCATATATAGTTGGGTGCTCCTATATTTGGTGCATATACATTTATAATTGTTAGTTCTTCCTCTTGTAGTTTTCCACTTACAAGTATGTGGTGACCTTCTTTATCGCTTTTAATCCTTTTAGGTTTGAAGTTCACATTGTCTGCAAACAGAATAGCTATCCTTGCTTTTATCTGAGTTCCTGTTGCATGGAATACTGTTTTCCACTCTTTGACTTTTAATCTATGAGTTTCTTTTTGAGTCAGATATGTTTCTTGTATACAGCATATTGTGGGATCCTGTTTCTTTTTGTCTTTTTCATTTTTATCGGTACCGGGGATCGAACTCATGACCACCTGCTTGCAAGGCAGGTGCTTATGCCGCTGAGCTAAAATCCCCAGCCCCTGGGATCCTGTTTCTTGATCCATTCTGTCAACCTGTTTCTTTTGACAGGTGAATTGAAACCATTTACATTTTTGACTATCACTGATATGTACTGGCTTGACTTTGCCATATTGTGTTCCTTTTGTTGGTTTCCCTCTTTCTGCCCTTGTTTAATTTCTTATCCAGCCTGGTGGTTTCTTTCTGTTGTTGTTCCGGAGATTGTACTCATTTTTAATCTCTTTCTAGCACATCTTTCAATACTCTTTCTAGGGTTGGTTTGGTAGATATGAATTTCTTCAGTAGTTCTTTGTCATGGAAGTATCTTTTTTCTCCATTAAATTTGAATGAAAGGTTTTCTGGGTACGTTAGTCTGGGTACGTTAGTCTACGTTAGTCTGGTTGTTTTCTTTTAGGCCCCCCCACCCCAAAAAGAAGAAGAATAAAGATGGAGTCCCAGGATTTCCCTTTGTATGATATTCCTGACAACTATAGATTATAGAATTTTGTATGTGCATGGCTTTGCTTTTTTTTTTTTTTTTTTTTAAATAAAAAATAGTATTGAATGCCTACTCAACACCATTCTAAGACCTGGATTACAGTAATGAACAAAATGAAAAAATACATTGTCCATGTGGAGCTTATAGGATAGTTTGGAGAGTATGACAAGTGGTAGTAAATGCTATGGAGAAAAAGACTAGATGATTACAATCTTAAATATGCCTATTTTTTAGCATATATTATTTTACATGTTATCTTATGTTTACTATTAAAACTTGGAAAGTGTGTCATACACCACTTTATTTTCCAGTATATCTCATTTGGAGCCAGTGTTCATGTATTTGTTCAGTGACAGTCACTTTCCTCATCTCTGAGATTGTACTTACAGACTGTTGAAATTTAGTTGTTAGTAGTTATTCTTACTTTCATAGTTCAATATTATAAATCATGTTACCTTAGCAAATTACAATCTTGAGAATTACTTTATATGTGTTTTGACCCCTGTTATAGCATCAGGCACATTATGGTGTGTTGCAAATTCTTAAGATTATTTAACCTGAGAAATTTGTTGGGCTAGATAAATTCCATATTTGTAACCATAATTAATTACTTGGGCTTTGTATTTCTTTATCTTAACAAAAATGGATACTGTGATATTTAATATGTTTTCATACTTTGAAAGTCTGGTTTCTTTGCTTTCTTGGGCTTATCAGTGACCTTACACATGTTATGTATATGTTAAGTTGAGCTGCTCTTCCTCTTTCAGGTTGAACAATGTTTAAAACGTTTGAAAAACATGAATTTGGAGGGTTCAATTAAAGACCTGCCTGAGTTGTTTTCTTCCAGGTAGGTTCATTGCCTTGTGATGTGATGGGCTGGGGATTTGATGTCCTGTTGTGATCTCCCGTTTGGATTTCTTTCTGCTTCATGTTGGAAGATAACCAATTATACCTCAGCTGTACAAATTTTGTTTCGATATGGGGCACTTGGTGTTTGTGGTAGTAAATCTCTCTTTGTTGGTGTGTGGAAGAGACCAGCATGACATTGAATATGGGTCACAGTAGGTTTTATTGAAACATCACTGAGTTGTTACCAAGCAGGTCTTCATTTGAAAAATGAGATAGATAGAAATGTTTTATATTTTAAAATGAATGTAATGTGTTTTTCTGTTTTTGTCAAGTGAAAATCAGAGTGTAACTATCAAAACGTGTGTGATCCCCAGCCAACCAGTGGTGGAGTTGACATTGATGAAGGTTTTAGGAGCCTGCAAGTTGTTACTCCGCTTATTGGATTGCTGCTGCAAAACATTTCTGTATCCTTGAATGTACTGAAAGGCTTTCTTGTGAGTGGGAATTGTTTGGATATATTTGGCAGTATTTCGGTTTGTAGGCTAGAGTCTGTAGGTATTCTTTCTAATCTGTGAAATTCTTAAACTTTAGTGTTGGTCTCCTTTTCCCAGTAAATGCTGAATATTGCCATTGTCAGAGACCTTGTTTCTTCCTAGCATGATTATCCTAAGAGCATTGACAGGTATAAATTCTTAATCTTAGAAACTAAGTTTAATAATGTATCTCTAGCAGATTGTATGTACTTTTAAGTTTTCGTTTTGCAGTGCACTTTTGTTTTTTTAAAGTATCATGGGATTGAACACAGGGCCCTCATACTGAGCCACATCCCTGGCCCTTTAAAAAATTTTTTAAAAAAAATTTTTCTTTTAAGACATTTCTTGCTATGTGGCCCAGGTTGGGCTCAAACTTAAGATTCACCTGCTTCAGACTCCCAGTGTGCTGAGAGTATAGCATATACTATCATATCCAGCTAGTGGAACATGTTTTAAGGCTTTCACGCCTTCAAGATTCCTTTTACCTCCATTCTGTTTCTATTCTCTCATAATTATAACTTGCAAACCTCAATTACTTTGATTTTGTTTTCCCACCTTAAATTGATTCTACAGTTTGACGGTGAAACACCTAAGATTGCAGGAGTTCATTATTTTAAACCTTGTCATGGTTGGGCTAGTAAGCAGATTATGGTATGTGTATACTTTTGATATTTTTCATTTCTGTACCTCACCCCAATTTTCTTATGAGTGTTTCATGTAGTTTCATGTCATATGTTGAAGATGTGGGAGTTCCTGTTTACTTGTGGTAAATTAGGAAGACAAATTCTGATGGTTATGACAAAGGACTAGGTTTCCTATCTGTAGCTGATCAGATTGATGTAACACCTAATGGTAAAAAATTAACTCCTAGGATTTAGAACTGGAATAATAAAAAGTTGTTGGCAGTTGTTGGCACAGTAATTGTATTGTAATGGGCTATTCAAAATGATTTCTGAGGGCGGGGGTTTAGCTTAGTGGCATAAGCACCTGTCTGGCAAGTACAAGGTCGTGAGTGAGTTTGATCCCCAGCACACACACAAAAAAGTGATTTCTGTACTGTAACGTATCTTGATTCTTTGTGCCATTTGGTTTCTGTTTTTTAATGGCAGTGAGAAATGCAATTTGACTTTCCATATTCACTCTAGACTTTGCTTGCATCTGAAACATCACCATTTTTTGAGGTGTATTATTGACATAAAGAACACTAGTAATACTTGCAAACTAAAGAGGCATACTGTTGCAGTCTCAATATATATGTATTGTCAAAAATGACTTGATGGCTAATTAGACTCAGAATTGAATCATTATTTTGTAAGTAAGAAAACTGAAAAAAAAGAAAATACTTTGTCTTCAGTGATTAAAAACCTCAGTTTAATGGCTTAAACTGATTATCTCGCATACCATTTTCAGTCTTGTTTTTTATCCTGCTTATTCTTAGAAGTAATAACATTTGAATTACCAGTTATTATTTTAAAATATTTAACTTGTATTGCTCTTTTTTTGTAGTTAAAAGGGATTTATTTTTTGCTCAGTACAGCAATGATGTATGCTTATTTTAAGGAATTCACAAATAACTAAGTGAACATGAAATTTGTCTGCGGTCTCATCATCTAGATCAGTGGTGACAAACCTGGGGCATGTGTGTTGTTTTGTTTTAAGCAGAGGGTATTAAACTAAAATCTCAGTATTCAGGTTTACTTGTCGTTGGCATTTTGTGGTAAGTTGGTTTTGGCTTACGGTTTGGGCATTGCTCTCTAAAAGATTTGCCATCACTGATTTAGATAAAACTACCAGTAGGATTTTTATTTGCATCCTTTGACAAATCTCCAGCTAGTTGTTTTAGAGTAACATTTTGTGCTTTGATTTTTCTGTTTGGGCTGGATTAATGGGACTATTTAGAAATACAGTGTTTTTTACCTACATTGGCAGAATTGATATCCATACTTACTCAGTTTTGAATCTTGCAATTTATTTTGTACTAGCCAGCTTATATCAGCCCTTTTTTGCTTTTTAGGATTCTCTATAAGGATGTTTTAAGAAGGTTGATTTCATTATATGAGCCATTGTTTGCGTTGCTTCAAGAAGTCTCTAGGATTCAACCAATGCCTTACTTCAAAGATTTTACCTTTCCTTCTGATATTGCTGAATTTCTAGGACAGCCCTGTCTTGAAATCTTTAAGAAAAAAAAGCCTACAGCTTTTGCAGCTAAAGGAGTAATTAAGTTGCTAAATAAACTATTTTTGAAAAAAGAACAATCACCAGGTTCCAGTGAAGACAGTTTGCTTAGAATTTCCCAAGAGGCTAAACAAACGAAGATCAGTGTACAGAGTAAGGTGGATCTTGGCCAGCCAGTAAAGAATACAAAAGTCCTTAAAGGTAATTTGCTTTGATGCACCTATTCTAATTAAATAAATCACTTGAAAGCATGCATTGTATAGAAAGACATTCAGTATCTCTTCTCGTTAACCCATACTTATTAGAAGAGGTATGGTTATCTGTGTTTTCTGAGTTTGAGCATTTAAAGTTCTTTGTTTCTCTTGATCTTTCATAGTTTTTTGCTTGCTTTCTTTCTTTTGTGGTAAACTAGAAAAACAATGAACTTGCGTAAAATTTCGTTTGTAATTTGAAAATAGTATCCTTGTGTTTTCCTTTTCACAGAAAAGTCATCAGGATTTGACGTGAGGGCTTTCTGCGAACAGCTGAAGCACAGAGCTATTCAGGTTAGTTAACTAAATTTAATGCAGCTTGTGATTTCTGCTAATTTGTAAAGGGTGTTACTTATCAAGGAAAGGATTGAATCTTGCTTCTATTTTTTTATTCCCGGCTAAGCTTGGTGTCTTTTTAGTTCTTAGTGTGTGATTTTTTTTCCCTCCTCCTCCCATCCCTGCCCTACTACTCCCACCTCCCTATTTTTTTGTCTAGAACTGGAGATTAAACCCATGGAGTGTGCTGAGCTATAACCCCAAACTTATTTAGACAAGAGTTTTGCTGTGTTGCTCAGGTTGTCCTTGAAATTGTGAGCCTCCTGTCAGCCTTTGGAGCTGCTGAGATAATAGGTATATGCCACCACTCCTGGGTTGATGTGTACTTTTAGGTGAATAGAGACAGAAGATATTTTAAGTTCATCTAGTTAGTTCAGTTATAGAATTCCTTCAGGAATATTGTAAAGACTTTCTCTAAAATTTAAAGTGACCATAAATTCCATGATATGTATTCATCGTACTGCAATTAAGAGTTTGGGATTTGCAGTTAGACTGATGTTTTGACTCAGCTTTGGCTTGTAGAGCTGTAAGACCTATAAGTTCTTTGACCTTTACATCCCTCTATTTTGTAATAATAGACTATACCTTATAGGATTCAGTTAGTTTTAATGCATGTAAAGTGTTCAACTGAGTCTGAAATATATGGTAAACATTCGGTTGGTGTTTGATCTTATTAGCAATTGTAGACATTTTCATCATCATCCTCATTTGTCTTGAGACTTCTGTTTTCTTACTGAGGCTTTGCTTGTAAATTCTGTTTATTTTGAACTTAACAATGGATGAATAAATCAGTGTCACTTTTTATCACCCAATCATGAGGACTTTTCACAAAATGTCTGGCTTCCTTTGTGGGGTAGTTCTTCCATTCTATTCAAGAAATTTTAACCATTTTTAATTAGTATTTTCTTTCCTGAACTTTTTACAGAGTTCAGCCTGTGCCCAATTCATGCATTCAGGGGCAGGAATCATAGGAATAGCTAATACTTTCTGTAACTGACATTGCTCTAAATACTCTGTATGGATAAACTTACAGTCTACCTTGTTGAAGTAGATGCTTTCATTACTGTTTTTGCATTTCATGTGAGAAAATTGTGGCATAGAAAGGCTGATGATTTTGAACAGGCCATACATGCATTTGATTTCAGTCTGTATTTTTTTACCATTACACTAGTCTCCAAAGTAGTTTTTTTAGTTCTGTCTTCGGAAAACCATGGGGCTTCGTGACCCTTGAAATTGTTTTTGAAGGTGGTTAGACAGCATTCTTCTTATTCAAGAATAATCATTACAGTATTTTTTAGCATTTGGCATCAATATGCTGTTTACTTTGAGGGCAAACTTCTTTTATCAGTGGCCAAACAGAATACTGATGTACTTCTATAAATTCCTGCTGAGTGTGAGAAACTTGGAAAGAGGATAAACTTTGAATGAAGAACAGAAGCAGACTTGGTAGATGTCATATTCTCATAAAGAAATAGTAAGTTAGTAAAATCCAAACTTGTTACAGAAAAAGAGGATTGAATAAAGGTGTCATCTTAGAAATAGTTTAAGTGGAATTGGAAGTGCTGCTCAGTTAAGCATTTTTTACAGGTTGGTAAATGGTGAATGGTTGTTAAGGCTCACTTTGTAGGCCTACATTCCCTCTCTCCTTGGTATCTTCAGTAACATGTATGACCCATCACTGAGGAGGATTATTAAGGACAGACTAAATTAAAAACAAGTGTGACAGCCCAGTGATGTCCAATGATTTTTTCCTCCACTATTAGGCTTTGCACAGTATTTAATCCTGTGGAATTTTATTCTTGTGTGTGTTCGGAGTACACATCAGAATATAGTTTCCTGTGTCCATTTAATTTGGTAGCAGATGGGTTTTGTTTTAGTATGGAGTGCAAGAGTAGTGAGGGGAAAGTTAGGAGCAGTGGATAAAAAATTAAGTATCTAAGACAAAAGGAATGCACAATAAATGAAAAAGTCTTCCTTCACTAAGTGAAAAATCTTCCTTTTAAAAAATACTTTGAAATTTTGATTTAGTCAGATTTCCTCTTTATCATATTTGTAAGTTAGTAGCAGTCAATATTTTTGTTACTTTGTCATATTTTAGGAAACCAGCTTTGAATCTACATGTTCTCAGTTGAAGCTTAAGACAACTAAACATTCTTCGCAGAAAGTAATAGGATTTCTCCATGCCAAAACTTTTGTGCAAAGATTCCGAGAGGCCAAAAACTTCATGCAACTTTCTGAAGAAATCCAAGTGGCAGTTGTATGGTGCAGGACCAAAAAACTCAAGGCTCAGGCCACCTTTCTGGGCAACAAACTTCTTAAAAGTAATCGGCTTAAACATGTAGAAGCTCAAGGTTATAGGTAAGTATATTACAAAAATTATGTATATATTCAGGTTTCTGTAAAAAATGTCTAGCAAGGCTTTAGGCACTAAGAGTCATTTCATCTGTTATTGTTACGTGAGCAGAGTTAATCTTTGGGAGGAAGAAAGTAAATTTAGGTGAATCAGATTCCTCATTTGTATTCTTTATCATTCCCAGTTGCTTATTTGGAAAGCATTGTAGTAAGCCTGGATATACAACTGCATGAGACACACTTAGTCCTTGGGAAGCTCCTGCTTTAGTGGGAGAGGTGGCTCTTCTCACCATGTCATTGCAGTTGCAGAAAGCCTACACTGTGCTATGAAGACCAATGTTAGATTTGATGTTTGTAGGAGCTAAATTTTCCACATACAGACATCTTCCTTTTAATGTGATTCTTAAATTCAGGCATGTTTAAGGTTGTGAGCATGAAGCATTCCATGAGGACACTTCAAGGCTTTGTATTTTTATTGAAAATATAATAGATGCCAGTGGTAACAATTTCAGATGAAAACATAAAGATCCTTATTTTTCCTTTACAGAGGTAGTCATTTGCTTGAACCAGCTTTTTTATGTGTCCATCAAACAATATTCTGTTCTTGTACCATAATCTCTTATTGATAGTTATAGATAGGGCTTTATACTGTTGCTATGGATGAACCATTAAAGCTATCTAAAATTTAACTTTTAAAAACTATGAAAAATACATTTTTGTTTCACAGAAAATATTGGCACACAACTGAAGTTTTGTTACAAGTTTTACCTGAGTTGTAGGAAAAACGTTGCATATTTCTAAGGGATGAATTTCTAGAGGGATTTTTACATTATGAATCCCCTAAAGGCCCGCCATCTAAAAGGGATTTGTTCCTTTAAGGTTGGAAATGTAGGCATTTGTTCAAAGATGATAATGATTCAGTCAGCAAAGGAGTAAAACCTTGTGTTGATTAAATTGTTAGTCTGTATCTTCCAAAACAGTGTTCTTTCATTAGTATTTTTTTTGTGGTACCTTACAATGTATTTAAGTCCATAATAACTGTGTGAAGCAAGCAGTATTCCTGTTTTATAGATGAGAAAATGATGGGTTTTTCCCAAGATGTTTGAACTGGGTATCTAACATTCAATTCTCTGATTCCTGTTTTCATTCATTCTCTTTCCATTTTGACTCAGCTGTACATACCCACCTTCTCCCCACTTAAAAGTCACTGCTATATTAAGACAAGAAAATGGTTTGGAAACATTATGTATTGCTTCATTATTATGGGCCTTGTCAGATTTTTTTGTTTCAAAAAAGGTGAGGGAGATGAGACAGAGATCATAGACCTACATTAACCTTTAAAAATTTCACTAACAAAGTGAGGCAGTTTCAGCAAGACACCAGTAAACTAAGTAACCAGTAAAAAAAACAGAACAGTCAGCTATTTGAGTTTTGAGTTTTCTACACTTGGAGATGACATATGAATCACACTGTGTAGCTGAAAGCTGTGTTTGTCTATGTCACAAGCCCTGTCTTCCTACTGTTTTATAAACACTTTCTTTACTCATATTTTTTTCCTTGTTTATTCCTGCCATAAGAAATTGCACATGAAGATACAGATTATTATATACCTGTAGTTTTTAAAAGTTTGTGATGTTTCCCTGTTTCAGATTCTGTTAAATTATGAACAGATTATTTGGTCTGAGGAAAAACTGATACTGAAGTATACAGGTATCTTACTTTAGAAATTGGTTAACTTTTAGGGTGAAATGGAGATACTTCTTTCTTCAACCTCAATCAGGGGGAAGTTAATAGTCTGAAAAAACAGATCTATTTTGAAACTATTTCCACATTTTTTGTTATGATCCTGGAATTATATATAGCTATAGGACCTGTAAGTAATTTGTGTATTTTCTGTTGGAAGTTGGTAAATAATCATGTATAATAGTGATGGAAAATTTTTTTGGCATTTTACTAAATCAGGTTTTTCTTCTCTATTGTTTAGTTTGCCAAAGAAACTAGAATGCATAAAAACATCCATTTGCAACTGCCTTCTTCATGGCTCAGGTATCAGAACTTCAAAGCATCATCTGAGGCAAAGATCACAGAATACATTTTTACTAAGAAAAAGGAAACCACAAAGAAAGTGGCAGTCAACCCTTTTAAAGGAAATTCAGCAGTTCCCTCAAGAACCTCTCAAGAGTGCTGTGGACAGCGGTACTAAGTGGAGTCTCTCACACGGCACAGTTCAGAGAACTGATTGCTGCCGTAACAATAAGCAGCCGCTGACTAACAAGCCTGCCACACAAACTAAGGAGAATCAGATTCATGGAAGTCTTACAGGAAGCAGTGAAAGTCAAACTAATTCATGGACAAAGATGAAGATAAATAAACAAAATATGCCAGGACCTGTTAAAGAGACAGATGACATTGATGACATTTTTGCTTTAATGGGAGTGTAGATGTTCATATATGAGATTTTTAAGTGTTAAGAAACTGGTCCACTGTTGTGCTGTTTTAAGTGGAGCTGCTGAGATCTTGAAATACTACTGCTTAGGCTCAGAGAGGAAGTGCTTCCATGCAGCATTCCACAAGAGTTCATTTCAGTTCAATAAACATATGCAGTAGCTTTGTATCATTTCATCACCAAGTATTTCTTTGGCTTTGACTGTGTGTCTGATGCTAAGATATAAAGTGTGTCACAGAATGAGTAATTCCTTGAAACTAGCAGGTCCCTGAAAAATTGAAATTTTGTAATTTATCAGTCAATTAAGACCTAATAATTGAGTTTGCCAAAAGCCTGTGCCTTAAACAGGGAGTGAGGTGGGGAGTAGCAAGGAGACACTCCAGAGGGTGGCTTTGGTTTCACTGGCACCATCACAATAGGTCCACCCAGGAATACCAGTGTTTGTAGCTTCTGATGGGTGCTATCATCACAAGAACTCAAGTTTTGTTACTAATTATATTACCAGAGACTGGTTACAACCATATCCTCTTAATTTATTTACCTTATATGAGGAGGATACATTTAATATGTTTTCAAAATGTTCTAACTCAGAATTACATAAATAAGCTTCTGTAATAGTTGTCTTAAATTTTGTTGTTACAGACTTACAGAAAATAGTACTCTAGTATATAAAGTGATTTCCTTTTCTTTGGCAATCTTTGTCTTTGCCCTTTCTGCCTATGTTTTATATTTTCCTTATTCCCATGGTTCTTGAACTGGAACAGAGGGTTAGTCACCTGGTCAGCAGTTTCAAAACAGATTCCTAGCCTCTTCCCAGAGACTGGTGAATACAGACTAGAGGGTGGGAGTAAAAGTCTGCATGTTTATTTTAATAAGAAGGGCAGGTGATTTTGATTGTAAGGGGCTCAAAATCCAGAGTTAACATGAAAAGCGGTTTAGCTTCTCTCCTAAAGCCTTGTCAAACATCCTGTTTTCAGTAGTTTTTAATCTCCAGATCTAAAATCTGAAACTTTGAAGACCGGCAGACTGCTCAAAAAGTTACAGATTTTGGAACATTTCTAATATCAGAGTTTTAGATTTGGGATGCTCAATCAGCAAAGCCTCGGCTGATACTCATTCCACAATTTAAAATGCTTCTTGAGCATCTTGGATAAAGGATAAAAGTAGTATTAGGCACTCAGGTTAAATAAAACAGCAGTATATATAACCTGTTTTTTAAAACTTGGTCTTCCCACTTCTGATCTTCCCAATCCAAGTCCTGTGTACACCTGAAGGTGAATGATTCCAGTGTGAAACAAATGGTATTTCTAACAAATAATCAATTTGTTGATTCACAAACCAACAAATTTTATCAAGAATAATTCTTTTTTAAAAAATAATTCTTTTAACATTTAAATAAGGATTAAAAATGATTAATAGGCATACAGATGAGCTTTTATTCTTCAACTTACCTCATTTTTTAAACCTCATTCTTTCACAAAGAAACAGCTTTTTACTTGTCCATTTTAATTTTACAAAACAGCATTTTACTTGTACATTTTCAAGATAAAAGTCCAATAAATAATGTGACAAACCTTTCTCTACATAGTAATCATAGGTTTTTTCTTTTTTTATGTGCTTGTCAGTTTATTAAAATAGGAAAACCAACTAGTATCTGTTACAATAAACAGCATAATCCAGTTACTTACACCCGCTTCCCAGGCACAAATTCAACTTGCTTTGCGCAGTTGCACGTCTTAAAGCTCAAGTGATCCCTGTGCAAAATTTAGAAACAGCATTTAAAATAATACTGAAATTCTTCCAGTTATTTAATTTTTAACTCGAATTGGCACAAAGAATTTTGGAACTTCATCTGAAGTTGGAGTCATTTAGATTTCCTATTATATTTACTATAAAGCATTTCAACAGATGGATTCCGGAATAGTTCAGAGCACTGTGGAAAAAGAAACACAGTAGCAGGTTTGAATTCATCTACCTTAAAGTTACTTGCAAACTCTATAAAGCAGAATATCTTATTTTGTTGTACACTTCCTTTCTCCCCTAAACTTCTTATAATATTTTAAAATTCAGTGATTCCTGCATGATTCTAAAAACTTACTTTTTACTGTCTTTTTCCTAGATTAGGTCTTGATGTCTTCAGTTTATTCTTGATATGGCAAAAATTCATCATTTTGATAATTTATACCTTTTCTCAAATTTTTTTTTAATCAAAGTCATTATTGTGACTTATTTACCTGTCTGGCTGCCCACTCATCCACCTAACCACCTAAGTACTCATCCATCCATCCATCCATCCATCATCCATCCTTTTGGAGTTTGACCCCTTGGTCTCTTAAGATATGAGTATACTATTGCTTTATATACAGGTAAAATATCTTCTGTTGTATTACTAATTTTCTTCTTAATAAGGTACAACATTTTAGACTTTTGGCCAAAGCCAAAATAAAACCAAACAAGAAATAAAGAACAGCCAATAATGATCCTTGTAACTGAAGTTATAAAATTTAAAGGAGAAATACAAGTTAGATGATTCACACTCTTAAGTGGACTGTGAATATGTATGTGCAACATTTTTATCAGTTCAAAATTTTCTGCTCTCATCTACTTGGAATTCTACATAAAAAAACCACAGTGCTGTCTCTTACATATCATTTATATAACAGATCAATCCCAGTATCAATCCTCAAGGGTTTTTCATTATTTGTATTTTTCTAACCTGGACCAGAGTTCAGGCATGAAGACAATACTTCTGCCTGTAGACCTGAAAATACACTTCCACCTGTCTTGTATCATAAGCATATAGGAAGAAAAGGAGACACAATTTATAGTAACCATTTGTGAACAGGTCAAGCTGTATTTAAGAGGGATGGCCTGGCAATGATGACAAATCTTTTAGAACTTACAGTGAGAAAAATCAGCCCATTGCAGCATGCTTGCCATAGGTTCACCACCACTGGCTTAGTATTTGGTCTTCTCTAACAAGAAATATACATCACTATATTCTGCCTGGAGTTTTAAGAGCTAACAGTATACTTACATTGACTGCGTTACAATGAATGTTGAAGCTCTTGAGTGCAAGTGTGTTTCCCATCACTCAGTTCTTAGGTTTTTTTTAATACTATGCAGCCTGCAGTGCTTGGTTACCAAAGGTAAGAATGGTGACAGTAGTGACTCCAGGGTTATGTGCATAGAAAGCTGGCATAGCCAAAGAAGGAAATGCCTCTAAAAAGTACCAGCTAACTGATAATCTGAGGCGTAGGCCTGATACTCCATTTATTGACTCTGACTAGTGGAAAGAAAGGAAATTGTTTAACATTTTGTGCCTGATCATAATACATACAAACACCAATCATAATACATTTTCCTTAATCCTGGTGATCATACTTTTCCAGGGAGAAAACACTCAAGGAAAATAAAATAAATTACCTTAAATTGGTAGCCAGGAAGTAAAAAAGCTAGTATGAAAACCATGGCTGTCTAAGCCACTCCTCTATTTCAGCAAATACCTCTCTGCAATTTAATTTCTCCAACTTGTAATCTTAGCTGTGAACAGGTTTATCATGAAGATCAATTAAGTGTCTTAAATGATCTAGTGCTATAGCCTTTCTGAAGACCACTTGTTTTCAGATAGCTCTAGCTAGGAAGCAGTGTGGGACCATGGTTTATCAGTCCCTGATCATGAACACCTTATTTCCACTGATACAGTCCAAGAAAAATCTTTCCCAGCCACATGTCAGCAGTTGGTTAACTAAAAGGTACACACGTTTTGCAACAAATGCTGATTAACAACAGTTTGCTACTATATGTGTGTATCGCCTTTTTAGCAGAAGTCTCACACTTCCTCTTTATTAAACAGTTTAAAGAAATAGCTTTTATAGTTCTATTAAAAAGTATTTATATGATAATGCTCAGAGCCCTAATAAGAATTAGAATTTTACTGCCACCTCTAGCAATTTGCACTATATACATAGGATAAAGACAAATGAAATGGATAAATATCTGAATGTAAGTCAAAGAAGAGTTTTGTAGGAATAAAGAGGGATTCTGATAGGCATATTCATAATAACAATTTAACTTTGATACAGACTGGTAGGATCTAAAATGACTACGCAGGGGACAGTGTTATATACAACAAAGTGTTGCTTAGTTTTTCCTCTCCTTATAGTAACTAGCATAGTGCCTTCCATAGAAAGATCTGAGTGAGGAAATCAGAGAGGAGTAGGGCTCCACCTCTGCTACAGTACACATTACTAGTGTACCCAAGATATACAATGAAAGTACACACCTATGTTTTGTTATAAAACCTGATCATGGGACTGGGTGTGGTGGTACACTCTACAATCTCAACACTCAGGAGGCTGAGGCAAGAAAAACTGTTGCAAATTTGAAACCAGCCTGGGCTACAAAGTGAGTCCAAGGCCAGCCTGAACCTCATGAGACCCTATCTCAAAAAGACAAAAACAAAAACAAAACCCTGATCATAACATCTCAAAAATTACCAGCTCAGGAAAAATACATTCTGTCTGCCACCACTATGTAATCTAAACTTAAAACATTTTTTCTTCTTCCTATAAGGACCTTTAAAAAGAAACTTTAAAAAAAATCTCTCATGGCCCAAATAAACTTTATACCATACAGGTAAGTTAGTTTTCTTTGAAATTAAAAACAAAGGATAGAATCTTTATTATAGCTATTTTAAAGTTTTTATTTCTGCATTGGTCTAGGACTGAGACAGAATAAAGTTCCTGCAGAGAAAAGGAAGACAAGAAAGAATAGAGCGAAGAAAAAAATCAGAAGTATTAATAGATTATACCAGCAAATCATGGCTGGTTCATAGTCATCCAAATTTTAAGTGATACCTGGATTTCAGAAACATTAATTTAATATTAAAGGTTTTAAGTATGCAAAGTTGTTTTAACAGTTCAAGTCTTACCTTACAGGAAACAATTGAGGGAAACATCCTTGTGTTTTTGTGTTAACAAAGTTCTGGATCTGAAGTATTTGTTTTAAAAGATGTCCTTTGGAAGATTTATCAATTTTTGTCAATACCATCTATAAGAAAACATAACTTTAAGCATCAGAATTAAAATATACATTTTAATCTCTCCAAATCTAGTTCATCTATAAAATAAAAGCACAAAGAAGCTACTCTGAATAGTAAGTGACTTCTTGTGTATAATAAAGTGTACACTATGTGTTTAGTATTTAGTATTTAATGGTGCTTTAACCACATAAGGCTATAACGTCTCAGATTTACAATGAAAGAGAAGGACCCTTCCATAATTGTCATTGCCATAGGCTGTTTCATGTGATTACAACTTATCATGTGCTTTAAGGTACAGAAATTAACACTGTTAAGTTGATCTAAATAAAACTAGTAACTTGTAAACACTATAATGGTTCAGCCTTATAATACTTTGAAAGGAAAAATTAGAAATGGGTACTTTGCTAATATTCCAGAAAATCTAGAATTTTACTTGTCCAAATACAAATACATACTGGAGAAAGGTCAAGGCATGGCTGATTACAAGGTCAATTAAAAGCAAACTTCAACCTATCAGGTTTCCTTTGCTATTATATTAAGCCTCTTAATGAATGCCTTATACTTTTAGTCGTAAGAAATGTTGGTGGTAGGAATGGAAAGCAGGAAGTATGTGGTTTCTCACAACTTGTGAATCACTTCAGATGGCAGTCTTTCCTCATAAAGGCAAATGTGCTGATAGATATGATTTTTTTTTTTTTTTTGTGGTGTTGAGGTTTGCACCTAGAGCCCTGCACAAGCCAGACAAGGGTTTTACCTACCACTGAGTTACATCCCTAGCCCAAAATTTAATGTTATCTTTCTGTTTTATAGGGACATGCATGTGCATATGGTGTGTGTGGTACTGGAGATTAAACACAGGATATACTATTTAAAAGGAGATACAGTTACTCTGTCCCAATTCATGAAAGAAGTAAATTATTTTCTCTTCAGTTAAAACGAATTTATGATTCCTAGTACCTATGATAGATCAGGAACAGTTATTTAATAAAAGAAGTTTGACAATACTTAGGTAATTTTGCTATGTAGATTATCAGTCCTTTCATGGCCAATAAATTATTCTTAATCAAACCCCAAGAATTTCATTAACTCCAAAGATACAAAAGTGGCTCACTACCATTTAAAAAAAATGAAGTATGTTTAAAAATGGGCAGAGAACTTAGACATTTCCTCAAAGAAAATATTCAAATGGTCAAAAGGCAGATGAATAGATACTAATCATTAATAATCATTAAGGAAATGCAAACAAAAATCAAAACCACCATGCCTCTTCTGGAGGGTACAGGAAACTGAGGTAAGATTTTTTTCTGTAATCTCACAGAACCACATTTAATTTAAAACTTTCAGCCAAATATGGTGGAACACACTTGTCTTGGCACCCAAGAGGCTGAGGCGAGAGGATCACCATGCATTCAAGGCCAGCCTGGGCTGCAATGGTGATTTTAGACCATCCTGAACTGCCTGGCAAGATCTTGTCTATAAACAAACGAACAAAAAAAACCAAAACAACCAAACATTTTTCTAGCAACCATAGTTTAAAAAGAGAAACAGGTTAACAATAGAGCTTAACTCAATTTATCTAAAATGTTATTTTAACATGTAATCAATTAAAAACTTACGAAAGTTTTTTTTTTTTTTTTTTTTTTAAATAGGGTCAGACTATAGTTTGGAGTTGGCTCACTATGAAGCTCAGGCTCGCCTTGAACCCATAGAGATTAATGTATGGTTTCACATACAAGAGGCAGTTAGAGGGGTTCCATTTATGTTTTCCCTGGTCTTGCTACCTTGCGAGCAGCTGTGGACCATTTGTATCAATGCAAGGCTTCTCAACAGACTGGGAACTGTGGTCCTTGCTGGGAGAAGATTTATAGAACTGCGGGAGGTCTGAAGATGGCAGCTTGATACGTAGCAGAGTAGAGAGCCCCTCTGAGAAAAACAACTCAGATGCTAGAATTTAACACCATGGAGAAGACCAGACAAAAGGAGAGGGAATCTCATGAGCCAGGAAGAAAGTGAGGAAAAAGAAAAAAAAAAAAAAATAGAAAAGGAAAAACACGGACAAAAGGCTGGGACCAGATGCACTCTCATTGGAGCCAGTCCCGTGCTGTGCTGGGGCGTGCTTTGGAGTGGGATGACTCACAGTCCCGCTGAAATCGTGGCCTCCAAAATTGGGGGTTGGTGAGCCCAGGGGCTTTGGCGGGAGGATGCGGCACAGTGGAGAGCAGAATCAATGTGGAGAGCTGCATTAATCTGTGGTGAGTGCTAGGAATGTGGTTCCGCAGTGGGGGTGACCAGCTGGATGACATACTGGAGTTCAGCAGGACGGGCCTGAACTTGGAACCTCAGTGGCATCAATCAGGCTGCCGCTGGCCCAAAGAGGCCTGGTGGGATCTGATTGGGCTGGGTCACGCCCCTGGTCGGGATCCAATAGCCAGGGACAAAAATGTCTGGAACCTGTGACATTTGCATAGCACAGACTAACATGCTGAAGACACTCGCCGGTTGACTGGCTCAGAGGAGAACGGTTAGCCCATACTGTCTCTGCATGCACCTCAAGTAACAGCAAACTGGAGAAGGCAGCAAGCCCCCAGCCAGCATGCTTCAGAAAAACTGTAAGCAATACGGGAAGCGCCTGTGACCTTCACCATACAGTTGTCTGAAAGAAACCAGAAATAAGACAAAGAAACAAGAAAAAGCCTCTGGCTGCTGACTAAGGGAAAATAAGTCCAGGAGAGGTAAATACAGAAGAGATCGAGGACAGCAATCAAGCAATATCGGCCACAGGATCAGCAGACATAAAGAAATACTTTCGTAACCTCATAGACGAACTTAAAAGCGAAATTCTAATTCAAATGAGGCAAGATATAAAAAGACTAAAAAAGAAATGCTAAGCCCCTCTCAAGAAGACACAGATAGAAGAATGGAGGAACCCAGAAAAAGGAGAGAAACCTTCGATGAAGAATATAAAAAAAATCTAGAACACATGAAACAGATCCAAAGAGATTACCAGGAAATTAAAAATTCAATTGAAAGCTGGCAAAATTCTTTGACAGAAACTAAAGTTAGACTTTCAAAACTTGAGGATAGATTTGCAATGTGTGATCGTGAAAGGAAAGAGCTCTTACAAATAACAAGCAATCAGGAAGTAACAATACAAAGGCTAGAAGACAACAAGAGGATCTATAACTTAAAAATAAAAAACATGTGTGAAGAAGAACGAGTAAACACAAATGAATTACAAAGGCTATTCACAGAAATAATTAAGGGAAACTTCCCAAGCACAGGAAAAGGAAATGATTTTCAGATATATGAAGCATACAGAACTACAGCCAGCTACAATGAAAACAGATCTACACCTAGACATATAATAATCCAGATCCCAGAAATTCATCACAAGAACATAATATTAAAGGTGGTCAGAGAAAAGAAACAGATCACCTATAAAGGAAAACCCATCAAAATCATGACAGACTTCTTGACACAAACTATCAAATCAAGAAGAGCCTGGAGCAAACTATTCCAAGCCCTGAAAGAAAATAACCTCCAACCCAGATTGATGCACCCTGAAAAACTGTCTCTCAAAATTAATGGAGAAACAAGATGTTTCCATGACAAAGAGGAACTGTGGGAGTTTGTGACCCTCAATCTAACCCTACAAAAAATACTGAAGGACATTCTAGAGAAAGAGAGAGAGAAAAATCACCAGGATTCTAGCAACAGTGGCAGAGAGGCCTCAATGAATGGGGCAGACAGTGGAATGAAGGAGAAAAGTAGACAACCAACAGCAGAAAAATAGCATAGCAGAGATAAGACAGAGAAATCTGGCTATAATCTCTAACACAGATGACCTTGATACACAAACAAAAAGAAACGCAGGAAGAGTAGATCAGGAGATAGGGTCCATCGAGATGCTCTGAATAGGAAATATAATCTACCTGAAAGAGGGTTAAAGAACCGAAAGTCAAAGATGAGAAAACAATGCCCTACATGACAGGGAATCAGAGAGAAATAGGGACAGCTCGTCTAGCAGCTGCAGATAGGTTGGAAAGTCAAGACACTTGTGCAGTGGAGAACTACTCAGCTATATGGAAGGAAAACTTTGAGGCTTATTAGGTAAAGGAATACAGCTCAAGATCAAACTCAGGGGTAAAAAGGTTCAGAAGCACTTAGGTGGATAGTGAGTTGCCCAGCTAATCTAAAAACTAAAGGAGTTAATGGGACCCAAAATGTACAAAGCACCCTGAGAAAGGGAAAGGGGACTAACTGTTTAAAAACAGAAGGCAGAGGACATTGTTAATAGTGTATCAGGATTTAAAAGCCACATTAGTCTAATTGCTCTGTTTAGTTTGATTTGATTCTGTTCCAGTCTGTCTACTCGTACTAGATTTGAAGGCACAGATCGCTATCCCCAAAATAGCAAGATATACTATGTAACTGTCCTTAATTTCCTATTAATTAAATTGAAGCCCTGTATTAGTTACACTGTCTTACTATTACTGATCTTATTTGAATCTGGTTTGTTAGGTCGCTGTTTTGTCTTGATTTTATTCGAATTTGGTATGTTTGATAGTATTAAGTCTAAAAGAAGAAGAAAGTACTCTGAAGATGACAAGATGCAATAGGATAACCATTCTAGTTTGACTATTAACTGCTTTGAAGTCCTACAATGTCTCCAATGTTGTGTTTTTATTAATATTGCTATGAAGTGCTATGTTCAATTATACTATTCCTGATGATATAGACAATTCTATTGAAAACAGGAAGAGACATCATCGTAACTACTGTAGATCACCTAGTATTGTGGTTTTATATGTCTTTTTTGTTTCATTTTTTTCTGGAAATTTGTTTTGTTGTCTTGTTTGGATCTGTTTTTCCCTATAATACAGAAAGGATAGGTATATACGTAGAGATTCACGCATGTGTAGAACTTCTAAATAGTTTATGAGAATAGATTATATAATGCAAGACATAATGAACAGATACTCTCAAGAAGAAAAGACACTAAGATACCAAGTGCTAATTTTGTAGCATTATGATATAAAATCTAGCAATACTATTTTTCTCTGTTCAGAGTGATATTAGTCTGTTTTCTTTTGTTTAATTTCAACATATGTATTGATATGGACACCTGTTTTGAAAAGAACGAGACATTATGGCAGTCATTGTTGACTCCCCTATTGTCTGGTCTTGAAGACCTAAAATGCTTTCATCATCCTGTTCTGATCAATTTAGTACTATATTGTTCAGTATGAACTCACTGTGTGTCAAGATCTGGACAACTATTTGGAAGAAAACAAGAGACAATAGGATAGACAGTGAAGATCACCTGTGGTCTTGCTTTGAAATCTGTGTTTCTTAAATAATTTTATTTTATTTTATTTTTTGTCTTTTTCTTTTTTATCGGTACCAGGGATCGAACTCACGACTGCCTGCTTGCAAGGCAGGTGCTTATGCCGCTAAGCTAAATCCCCAACCCCTTAAAATAGTTTATTTATGATGTTTTGTTACGTTTAATTTTACTCTCTTCAAAATAAAAATTTTTTTTTTTTAAAAAAAGAGTTAACTAGAGTGATCAAATGTGCAGTATGAAGAAAGTAGAAATGTTGCAGGGACTGGAAGGAGGGACAACTGGAAGTGTTTAAAGGGTGTGGGTTTTAGTTTTACAAGACGATAAGAGTTCTGGAGAGCTCATTGCACAGTAATATGACTGTACTTAAAGTTGCTAAACTTTATGCTTTAAAATGGTTAAGGTGGAAATTCTATGTGCCTTTTACCACAAATAACACTGACAATAAATGAAGTAGAAACCACATGTGGTTGTGCACACCTGTAATCATACTTATTCAGAAAGCTGAGGCAGGAGTCTGACAAATTCAAGTCTAACCCAGAAGTAGACTCTCCTTCAAAATGTAAAAAAAAAAATTTTAAGGGCTGGGGATGTAGCTCAGTGGTAGAGCAGTAGTTTGGCATGCATGAGACCCTGAGTTCAACCCCAGTACTGCAATCATTGAGGTTGAACTACATTTAAAAGAAATAACTGACTCATTAAGAGAAAGAAGCAAATTGTAAATAGGTACAGTAAGATTTCTGTTTTAAACGTCAAAAATATAAAATTGTAAATAGGAATATATATATATATATATATATATATATATAGAGAGAGAGAGAGAGAGAGAGAGAGAGAGAGAGAGAGAGAGCGAGCGCCAGGCCCTATCTTAACTGATATAAAATGGATGTCTTCTAAACCAACAAAGAAATGAATGGGAACCTCAATTTTTTTAAAAGCAGAATTTGTCAAGATGTATTAAACTGCACCAACAGATATTTATATTTCATTGTGTGATTTATTTATTTTTTTGACTCAAAGAAAAAAATTCAGAAGATTAGAAGAATAAATAATGGGAAATGGAGAATAATGTAAGATGGTAATAGTAAGTCTAAACATATAGGAGTCACGGTGAATGTGACTAGGTTAAATCTGCTTATTGAAATTAGTGGTCAGGCTGGGTATAGTGGTGCATGTGTGGCTGAGGCAGGAGGGTCATTGTGAATTCAAGGCCAGCCTGAACTGTATAGTGAGACCCTGTCTCAAAAAGTCAAAAAAAAAAAAACAAAACAAAAAACTCAACATACAAATTAATAGGAAACAGGGAAATAGATCTTTTTGTACATGGGAAGAAGACCAAGAGATGGAGCAGAGGAGAAGAACATAAAAACTAAGAAGCATTATGTACATGAACCAACTCCCTACAATGAATGCAATCATTACTGCAAATGTATTTTAATAAAAATAACAATATGTCTAATGATAAAAAGAAAAAATGTGGCTCACTAGTAGCGTTCTTACAATAAACTCTGTTACATTTTAGTGCTTTTTAAAAACTTCTAGAAAACTTGGCATAAGCATCTGCCTGGCAGGTGTGAGGTAGTGAGTTCGATCCCCAGTACCACCAAAAACAAAACAAAACAAAAAAAACTTCTAGCAAACTAAAGTCACTGATTCTTTTAAAAAGAGTGATATTTTATCTGGAAGATTACAAAGCAAGTTAATGTGGATACCAACCTACAATACATACTAATATGTATTTTTTTCCTAGGTCACATGACAAAGGAACACTAGTAAGATATTTCCAGAAGAAATTTTGTTTCCCTATAAATATAAAAATCCTACAAAAAATTTCTTAGAGACTTTTATGTTCTTGGAAGAATGTTTAAATTCCAAGTAAGCATCAAAATTTGTAGGTGCAGACCTATTTACATTATAAATACTATCTGCTAAGCTGCTATTAAACAGCTATGAACATGTTTTGGAGAATGTTTATATTTCCATTAAAAAACAAAAATGAATAGTACTTAGGAACACTAAACAGCTTAAAACATTTTGGCTATAATTTTGAAAATAAGACTGAGAGAATAAAATAAAAGAACTTAGGGGTAGTTTATCTTTTAAAGAAGGAAAACTTGTTCATTTATTAAAAAAATATGTGCACATATTCATAAAGAAATGGTATTCTAACCACAACCAAGAGGCATAGGAAACACTTACCACATATGGTAATGCAAATTCTTCACACATTTCTATGGCAATTTTGTCTTTTTCTGTAATTCCAACAACACTATCTACTAGTAAAAATGTTCTCTTCAAACTATAAAATGCAGAAAATAAGATTAATGGTAACATAAGATATACTTCTTTTCATCCATATTTATTAAGAAATTTTCTTTGAATAATTCTAGATTTAAACTTTAAAAACTTAGGCAAAATGAATTTAAAGTTCATGAGTAAAATTCATCAGTCCTGTGAGTCCTGTTTATTTTCATAATCAAATTTGTTAAATATTTTAATTTATTTCAGCAAGCATGTATTGAACATAAATCTGCTATGGACTTCATATAAAGATGAGTAAAGCCCGTTCTCTAAGAACTTAAAATCCAATTTAAGTTATCAGAGAAATGTTTAAGTTTTTAAATATTACCTTAAACAAGTAACAGAAACCAGACACATTTTATTTTGCATTTCCTTTTGCAAATATTTCCATGTCAGTTTCTATGTAAAACTACAAAGCAAGGTAACTATATGAAGACTTTTAACATTTTTCTCTGTATTGTGCAATTCTTTTTTTGGCGGCGGGGGCGGGGGGGGTAACCAGGAATTGAACTCATGACCTTGTGCTTGCCAGGCAGCTACTGTGCCACTTGAGCTACATCTCCGGCTACTGTGCAATTCTTAAGTAGAACTGTCCCTGTGTCACTTGACTACGCAGGGAAACAAAAATATAAAGACGTTTTCAGAGGATATGATGATAGATATTTCAAGAATGATCACAATTTGCTGGTTTATTTAAATCTAGTGAATACCACATTAACCAACACTTTCATTTTCAAAATTATCCAGCAAAGAGTTTGCTTAAAATTAACAAAGTCTGCTAAGTACTCTTCATATTTTCAATTTAGGAAAACCCTTGAAGTTAAAATCAGACTCACAGGTTAAAAACAAAAAATAAGAGACCATACCTTGGTCCTAAACACTGTATTGTAGAATATTATAAGAGTAAAATAAACTAAAATGAGTGATTAGGTAAAACTGAAGTGTTTGCCACATGTAGAATACTCTACTGGTAAAGATAAGTTTTGGTGCTAAATATGTAACTATTATAAGTTTTTTCTTACTTTCTTCTTTCTTTTAGATAGGTCTCTACCATGTCAACAAAATCTTCAGGTGCTCTATAGCCGTAACCTGGCATATCCACCAATATGAAATATTTTCCAACTTTGAAAAAATTCATTTTCTTTGTGTGTCCCTGATAAAGTAAATAAAAAACAATTGAAGCTGATTTACAACAAATCCTTTCTACATTTCATAATTTTCAGTATTTTCTACTCAATTAAGTATTTATTAAAGACTCAGTATATAATCCTATTTTGATCATGATACGGGAAAAGAAGATAGAAGGAAAGTGCTAGAGATAAGCATAGATCACACTACTTTTTCCCTCCAATTCATCTTTCTTAAAATAGAATTCTTAGTACTTAGGAACTCTAGATTACATATTAAAAGTATATAAACAAAATATTTTGGACTCTATACTATTTCATGCTTCATGAAAAAGTTACCCTTTTGCATGAATATCACTAGTAATATTCTTTGATGGATAAATTAACTCTACTGTGAAAAGAAATGAATTGTGGCACTGATAAATTAAAATGCTTACCATTAGTCACAGAGGTTTCAGTAAGATCTACATCCAAAGCTTGATAGCTGCTTATACCTAGATTATTATTTTCCTAAAATCAGGATGTTTTGTATGGTTTATGTAGCTTTTAGTGCTCTCACTAAACAATTTTAAAAAGCATCTTTAAAATAACTAAAATTGACATAAACATAAAATATGGCCTGTTCATGCTTTTGTGGCCATTTATTCATCAGAACGAGAATTTTAAAAATCAATTGTTTGAACCTTAGAATAAATAATATCAAAGAAAGACTTTTTATAAGTGGTGGTTAAGTTCCTAGTTAGTTTGCTTATCCTTCTATTAGAAAATTATTTTAGAATTAGAAAGCAGGAATTTTAAACTTACAGATTAGGAATGTAAAGAATTAATTTCAAACACTGTCCTCTTCTTACATAGGAAGGGCATTCCCCTGCCTAGGAGTGATAGTTTAGCTGGTTTACTTGGTAAGTCAGGGGAGGAATAAAGATGGAAGGGTTAGGCACAAAGAATAATTAGTGACAATGCCAGAGAATCAACTACATGAAAAAGTAGGAGGAGAAGAGTGGTGAAGAGACCTGGAAGGGTTCCAACTCAGCGAAAGGGATTGGCGGTAGTGAGTGTTTGAGCTGGTGCAAAGGTTTTGATATTTGTAGATACTAAGGTAAGGGCAAGTGGGGGTGAATTTTGAGGAAAGATTATTTTAGATGTTGTTTGGTAGAATCTACATCATTGAGAAGGAAACAGAAAGAACTGGAAGATGACAAAAAGTCAGTGTATCAGTGTATGGCCTGGGTAAACACAATATGCTTGACTGTTTCATGTGTAAGAATGTGTGTGCATATATAAGTAAAATATAAACAATTATAGGAAAACTAAAGTAAAAGTCTTTAAAGTGTTTTCCTTAAAATCACTGCACAACTAGGCGATCATTCCTATAGAAGGAAATACAGAATGATGATAAAACAACTTATTTTGGTAACTCTGAAAGATTTGGACAAAGCTTTTTCCAAACAGGCCAGAGTACTAAAATAAACAGCCACACTTTCTCTCTCCCCACCCTCAGAGAAATAGTCATTAATGAAACGTCTTGTCTACCTGTTTGAAAGAAATCTCTTTTCTAGGTACTTAGCAATTATCATTTCTTATAATTCCAGTATTTACTACTCGTCTTAGTCAGTTCAAGAAATAGTCCAGACTTCTGGAACGTTAAAAAGTTTCAACATACCGGTGTTTTGGAGACTCTGACTTCAACCTCTGGAGCAAGTGAAAATAAAGCCTTTATCAGTGAAGATTTTCCAACATTGCTTCTGCCTATGAAACACACCTTTATACAGCATAAAAGAAGAGAAATGAGCACCAAGAAACTTGAATAATTATTTATTTAATCCTCTATTTAATGCTCTATTTGCACCACGCTTTATAAAGTGTGGTTTATGGCTAGTCAAACCTCAACTTCTAACATATAGCTAATACTGAACTGATTTCAAAATGCAAGTATAATATTTTCTAATTTTTTCAAACCACATCCCTGAGGTGGGTAATATTACCATTATTTTATAGATGTGAAAAAACTAGTCCAAAATTTTACAACTAGAGAGTAGACATACTGGGATTTGAATTTACATTTATACATCTATCTTGGACATTTATACCCACAGCCCTTACCTTTGTTACACTATGCTACTCAAGAACACCTGTAAACTTTATTAAGCATTCCATATCCGTAAAGCTTGTGAAGTGAAAAATTACATGTCATTTGAATAAAACTGGCTCAAAAGTACAAACACATTTGTACTCTTCTCAAGAACTCCCCCAGTACTTTGTAGTAACAGTGCAACTTAAGTAGTTTTTCCCTTGATCTCTCTTTTTCCAACTAAGTATTTCTCGTCTGTATTGTGGAAAGTAACAAAATATTTTCCATAATAACCATCAGTATCTAAGAGGCTGCTTTTTAGCAAAGTACTGTACTGAAGGGGTAACAACTGGACTTGAGGTCAGAATGGCTCAGTGGGGGACATTTTGCAAATCTATAAGGGTATTTTTGATTATCAATACTTATGCTGGACAGTCAGTAGGCAGGGACCAGGGATGCTATGTATTTTTTAAAACCCTGTTTAGTCTCTCAAAATAAATTGATGAGTCCTGCACAGATTTCAAGTGGTTTTCCCAGATTAGACCCAATGCTACAAGAGTCCTTCCAAAAATTAAAACAGGGCAATCGTGCAGTTACAAGAGCAAAGTTCTTGCAGCTGTTGTTAGCAGACCCAAAACAAAACACTGCATTTTGAACTTGTAGAACACGCCTAATATGCACCCAAGAAATTTCACTAATAAAATAGTTTAAATCGTCCACGGTATTGCCACTTATCGTTAGTATTTTTGCGCATGACAGGAAATTTGAATTGGGTGGAAAATTACAAATTGCTAAGTATCACATTCATGAAGCTGTTATATTTCCTATTCTTCCTCATTTGTCTCATGTATAGGCAAGAATTAACTTCTTGAAGGCCTAGTCCGTGTTTGAAAGCGTTGAACTATCATAATAATTAAAACCACACATATGCTTATTTAAAATAATTTATGCGTCCACAACAAGCTAGATACTATCTCTTGTTGGGTGATAAATATAATAAATAAGCAAATACGTGGTGGCAGGCGGGCATCGGCCCGCATTCCAATACTTTGCTAGCGGAGAACGACCAGCAATAGCATCTCTCACTTCCGGCCGAGAGGAGTCCGGGGCGTGGCTGAGACGGACGGCAGAGCTCAGATACTCGATGCGGTTCTTGGCGGTGGCAGCGAAGAAATTCTCCGCTCTCGCGATGTCTTCTAGGCTAGGGTCAAAGATCCTTAGGTGCAGATCAGGCCTCGCGTCCGGGTCGAGGTACAGTTCAAGTTCCTGCAGTGGGTACACTAGCTTTGTCAGCTGTCTCTTCGGCAGCCGCAGCACCTTAGCAAAGCTCTGCGAAGTGCTGTAAGCTCGATTCAGGCACCCTGGCGCCACTGACATCTCAAAGAACCTTTTCACAGACAGCCGCACGCAAGGTGACGCCATGTTTCTCTCCCAGAAGCCCCTCAAAACTTCTTTCCCAGACTCTGGGATGCGGTGCCGCGATGCCTCCTGGGAACTGTAGTCTCTGCTCCACACTGCCCATTTCCCACCCCCCTGTTTTTACTTAATCCGGCAAGAAGCCGGCGGTGAACGGCTGGGGGAATTCCGCTCCTTCGTTCAGCACCCTGGGCTTGATTAACTACTGTGCTTTGGAGTAGTACTTTACAGTGCGGAGGCGTTTAGCAGTTTCTAGAGGTGAAATACGCTTCTGGCTAGGTGGCCCTTGCTTCTCAAGAGGAAAAATAATAGTGTGAAGTTTTGGTGAATTCCAAGCCGGTTTAATCTTCACAGTTCTGGGTTGTTTAACGGATGGTTGCCGTTTTCATACGTTTAGATTACTAAGAAAAATAATTGCAAAAAAGACTAGTGAATAATGTGGTTGGAATACTGCCTCGTTTTGGGGGCAGGGACTAAACGTCAGCTCTTTTCTACAGTTGCAGGAACTGACATTAAACTGTAGAAATTTCTAACAAAATAAAAGCAAAACATTTTGGCACAGGTGTTACAGAATTGTTTCATGGAAATTCCACCGTAACGATTATCTTATTTCAAAGATTCTTAAAGCAATTCAAAATTTGTCAGTGGTGGAAATACAGGTGTTCTTTGATGAAATGAGTGAATGAAAGATATCTCTGTGTAAAAACTAAATGTCTCTAAAACACCAGCAGGACACAATGGAATGATAACTTACATCTCTTAAAGCTGTTTCCCACGTTGTTCAGAAACTAAATGGGAATTCTTGAATAAACACGCTGCAAAAATTAATGAAAACTGGATCTGTTGCTGGCCAGCTAGTTTTTACTGGATCCTTGTATTGGTCTTTCAGGCTTCTATTTTCTAGTCTCACTCCTCCTCAGTAATAAAATACTTTGTTGTATATACATCCACAAACCAGAGCTGAATATATTTTTGTGTATCAATATTGGCAATATTGTCTATCAAACGTGACAATACTGGGTTTGAATATAAAGGAACTTGAGTAATTCTTATAGATACTCTGGAGGTGTTCTGTAATTAATAGACATTTCTTTTTATAATTTTTCATGGTTTAACTCCTAAATCATTTTGTATTTCATTTGACAGGATAAATAATGTTGAAATCATTTGATGGACAGTCTGCAATCTAGGGCAATCTTTGTATTCTAAATTGTGTTGTCATGTAAAGACTAGAAAGTCAAACAAATAATCCATTGGAAATAAATATGACTAGGAAAACGACTTGATAATTTAGTCTTTTTCCCCCCTTTCTTTCCATTCTTTTAAAGCACTTATGTAAACCAAGCATATAAATTTCAAAAAGGTGTTTTAGATTCAGTATATACTATGATTTTCTGGACACATGATCAAACACACCCCTGATTTCCAATGTAGGCAGAATGACATAGATGAAGCATATGTAGCAGTAAGACCTGAAGAGAGGGGAGCTACAATGGAAATCATAATGGGTACAGGGAGTTGTCAAAGTCCAGGAAAATCAAGCCAAAATCAGTATTGAAGGGAATCAAGTTCGGATATGGGACATTGCTATAAGATCCTGAGCTTTGGCAACTCCCTAAAATCTCAGTTCTGGTAGAATCTTGGTTCTCATTGATTTTATCTTACTTAATAGCTAAAATTAGGATCTAGCCTCCTAACTGAAGGAGTTGGTCTTAGCTAAGATTCAGAATAGGGTTTGAACTTAGTAGGGAAAAGGATTATAGCTCTCCAGTTTATACTATCCAAAGCAGAATTCCTGATATTCTCTCCTCTGCTCGTTTTGTGATCATTCTCATGACAGTACATGACAACCTGGTTCTCCCAACCCATACAGCTAAACCTGGAAGAAATTCTTGATTTCTTTCTTTTCTATCCCACATTCAATCTATTAGCAATCTTCTTACTTTCAAAATGTAACCTGAATTTGACACTTTTTAGTTTTTTATTTATTGCTATTATTTCCTTCATGGATTATTGCAGTAGCTTCCAAACTAGTTACATGTTTTTGTTCTGCTTGCTTCAGTGTATTCTCAATACAGCAGGAAGCATGATCATGCTAAAATGTAAGCTAACACCTGTGACATCTTCCTCACTCAAAGAAAAGACAAAATTCTTGCACTGAACTAAAAGCCCTAAATGATCTTCTTTCTCTTTCTCCATCTGCTCTTGTATAACTTCATCTGATACTCCATTCCAACCACATTGGCTTCCTTGCTGTTTTTCAGACAAAATGTGTACCGTCCTGCCTCTAACTCTTTGGAAATGCTGATCCAAGATAATACATGGTTTATTCCTTTGTCATTCAGGGTTAATTTATGATTCTTCTCCTGAGGAAAAAATCCCTTTTATTTTGAGAATTAAAGGGGAAGTTCACTGTAAAGTTGCCATATATTTTAAAAATTAATACAGCTTGGGTAGGCCATATATACTATGAACACAGAATCAAATTTTATTACTAAAATTAGTATCGCCTAAATGCCATAGTTATGTTTGTCATCTTCAGCTACTAAAACTGCAGGAAAATAGGGCCATGATGAGCTCTTTCCTTTAGGAAGTGATTCCTTCCATAATATCTGTCTCTGTAATGAATGGCCGTGGGGCCTAGAATGATCTCAATTTATGTGCAACTACTCTAGGTATGGAAGTTTAGGGAATCCACCTGAGATGGGGCAAAGGTAAGCATTGTAAGGCAGGTAGGTGGATCATGGACCTCAGAGTGGCAGCAGGCATAGCATATACACAGGTTAATTTCATGCTACCCTAGACACTTTGAATGCCCAAACAGAAACAAGTGCAGAGACAGTAGGAAAATTTACTTCTAGATGTAGAGAGCAGTAATGGATTAGTTCTTGGTGTTTGATTTACACTAGAACTTTTCTACCACCACTTTTCCCCTTCAACTATTAACATTTATTAAATGTTTGCTATACCAGGTGTGTGAATAAGAGGAACTAACTGCGGGAAAGTCTTGGTCACATTCAAACTGGAACCTCAGACTCTTGTACTAGGAACAAAATATTGAGGGAAAAGAAGAAGGAAGAAGCCTTGCGTGGAGAGAGACATGAGAGAAACTTCCATATGTAATTTAAATTGCTTGAATTACAATAATTATACTCTGAACAAATACTTTAAATTTAAAATGACTTTAATTAAAGTTTTATCAAGCTTTCTGTGCAGGATTTTGATTTAAAAATTTATCACTTAACCTATTGAAACAAATTTGTGGTACAAACCCCTAACATGAATAATGATTTTTCTACTTTATTAATTATAGTATATACTTTTATTTTTGGAATTTATTGTATTACTATCATTCAAGAAATAAGAGAAACGTATATCCTATTATCATCTTTGGAAAGTTATCAAATTATTAAATTTCATTATATTTCATTAATGTACCTGTAGAAAATTTCAGAGAGTTTGTTTTCAAAAGTTCTGTGAGCTTTCTGTTAAGGTTGTCTGCTGTACTGATATGATTTCTCTAAAGAGATCTGGAGATTAAATACCAGACAGTGCTCATGTGTAGGAGGTGAATTCTTAGAATGATTTGGGTCCTGGGGGAAGAGTAGTTTCATTTCCTTTGAGTTTTTTTTTTCTCTTTTGATCAATAGAAAATCTGTTGCTTTAAGTAATCTTAATTTTTTCTTTCAGTAAGTGTGTTTTTCACTGTGCTATTTTTACTGAAATGTTTTATTATACTTTTTGTCATATTCAATTTGTGTTTTTATATTACTAACAAGTTCAGGTATTTTGTTGTTTCTGCTGATAAAACACGGATTTTGCTATTCTCACTAATAGTTCATTTAATTCATTAATATTTCAATTTTTATTACATATTAGGCAAATTTATAATTCATTGTTGTATTGAGTGTGAAAGATACCCTCTCTGGCACTCTGAGAAAATGAAGCAATATTCATAGACAGATGTGCTCATGAATATTCCAGTTTTTAACTGATTCATAAATAGAGTGTTTCAAGTGTTCCCAAGACTAGCTCCCAAATTTGCTGACTTACTGGGAGGACTCACAAAACTCAGCACATAGTTGTACTCGTGGCTATCATTTATTTTATTTTATTTTTTTTGTCTTTTTCATTTTTATCGGTACCAAGGATCAAACTCATGACCGCCTGCTTGCAAGGCAGGTGCTTATGCCGCTGAGCTAAATCCCCAGCCCCTATCATTTATTTTAACAAAAGACTACAAAGTGAAACTGGCTAGGGGAAAAGATACTCAAGATGCACTGGAGAAAATCAGGTACAATTTTCTCAGAATCCTCTCCAACTGGAGTTGCACAGAATGCGTTTAATTCTTCCAGTAAACAGTTGTGATGTATGAAGTGATGTTCACCAGGAAAGCCCAACTGAGATTAGGAGTCTAGAAATTACTATTTTTTAATCAAGGGCTGGTCATGTATGTATAAGCACCTTGTCCCTGTATGAGTGTCTAAAAAATTACTAGAATTTTAGATTTTCAGAAGGAAATCATGTGTTCAATATTGCTACAGTCTGCATCTCAAATGACCTCCAAAGTTCCATGTGTTAAAGGCCTGTTCAGTCTCCAGATGGATATTATTGAGTGGGTTGGAAACTTTTACAAAGTGGGGACCAGTGGGAGGTCCCTAGGTCACTGGGTGTGTACCCTTCCAAATAATGAGACCTGGTGCCACATATTCATGCTTATGGCCTCCAAAACCACGAGGCCAAATGGTCACGGACCAAAACCCAACAATATCAATCAAAGTAGGCCTTTTCTCTTTGTAAGTTCATTATTTCAGGTATTTGTTATGGTGATAGAAAGCTAACACTATAAACTACATTGTTTGTACAGTTTATGTACAGTGAACCACTGTTAAAATTTATGGAAACTGCACTGCAAGAAACTGTTCATCAGTCAGGTTCTCAGATGGCAGCTTAGGGCCAGTCTTGTAATTAAACATTTCTGTGGATGCAAGTTACAGTGCTGCTACATCAACTCTTTTTTGAATTTAGTCTGAT